GACAGCATCCATTATTGGCTGTAATGCGGAGGCATTTTCTTCAACACGTTTTCCTCCTTGGGTTAAGCATTGTGTGTTTGCCTATTAAATCAGCTTTAAGGTAAATTCTGTGAATAAACATCTTATTTTTCCATAGGCATCCTCACAGTTTTGGAGGATGTTGACCTATGGCTCAACCACCCTACCGCCTCTGGTTTTCTAACATTGTCAAGGGAATAACAGATCTGTGGGAAGTACACAGCAGGATCTGCTCCTCACAGCGTTTTCCTCTGTGTGACTGCAGCTAACATCGCATGGCAGCAAATGTAGTAAGCACCACGAAGTTACTTCACGAGGGACAAACGTGTTGCTTGAGTGTATAGAAACCTGATTCTGGGATCCTGCTGGGAAGGAGGATTGGGGGTCTCGCGAGAGAAAGTGATTTTGCTGGTATAGGACTCTGGCCAGAGAGGCTGTAGGAAGGTTTGTCAACGCACAGCAAAGACCAGGGGATCATGTGTGAGGCAGCATGGCTTCAGCTGCAGGAGGAGGAGTGGGTGAGTCACTCTTTCTAATCACTTGTACTGATGTTTTTGTTTCTAAAGACTTGTTTCTGGGGAGCCTCGGCAAAGAGGACGACCCTCCAGGTAGGGAATGATTCCAGGTAGCATCTGATGGGAAAGGGTTCCCAAGGGCCTTCAGGTTCTCCCTGCTGCTTGAGGGGCTAAAGGAGGGGATATGAAATCAGAAACAAAATGAAAATATGTGTGAGGTCTGGTTTGCTCTTCTCAAAGTTTCTTGGCACAATGGTAAGCGGCTGTCTCTAGGGGCTAAAAGGGTGCTGTGTTCATAAGGGTACTTTGCAGTACGCCTGCTCTCCTCTGCCCAGTGAAACATCCAGACCTTTGGTTTGGATTAATCAGCACTCCTTGGGGTTATGAACAAGGGGATGTAGGGCTGGGCACTGAGTATCATCTGTAAAGAAAGGACTCTGTGGGACACGGCTCTCTTACAGGCATTTACTTGAACTTAGAGAAAAAGTTCTTCTGCTGCATGCCAAGGGGAAGCTGGTAATTGCCCTCTGAACTTTGAGGACTTTGATCTTTGGAGGATCCTCATTTTACATAATGAGATATAAAACTAAGTGGGTACGGCACCCTCTATCCAGTCTGGGGCACTTCATTAGACCCAGAACTCTGAGTTTGATGCTGCCTATCATTTGCTTTTCCTCATGAGACCCCCTCTGACTACCTAGGCATCTCTAGCACCTTCTTTATTAGAGACCCTCAATCAACATCAAGGTCCAGAAGAAAACATCACAGAGGGTGAGATAGAGCTCCCCTGTGAAGACATGTTCCCTGAAGACAGACCTGGTTCCTCCCTGAAATTTCTCTGACACCGTTAAGTCTACTTCTTTCTTAAGGTCACTACTCTGATTGCTAATGAATTGTTTAGGCTTCTGCAGAGATCTGGGCTATTATGCATAGAATAAGTTAATATGTATTTCTTTGTGTCTGGCTGTTTTGCTCATGTCATGATTTTGAAATTCATTCAAGTTCTTAAGTGTAACTATAGTTCTTTCATTTCCTTGTTGCATAGTATTCCACTGTAGTCAAATATTATAATGTAACCACTCTACTGTTGATGGACATAATTCTTTCCTCCTTCCGATTCTAGGCACTTCAGGTGGCACAGCTTAAGGTATAGATCACACCACCCACAACCAGTCCCGAAAATGGCCCCGAAATGGTATCAAGAAACCCTGATCAAAAGATATGAATCTCTTAAGGGGGTGGACACCAAGGTCCTGAGGGACATGCGCTTTGCCAAGAAGCACATGAAGAAGGGCCTAAAGAAGGTGCAGACCAACAATCCCAAAGCCATGAGTGCATGTGCCGAGGCTATCGAGGCCTTTGTAAAGCCCAAGGAGGTTAAGTCCAAGATCCCAAAGGGTGTCAGCCGTAAGCTCGACTGACTTGCCTACATTGCCCATTCCAAGCTTGGGAAGTGTGCTCATGCCCGCATTGCTAAGGGGCTCAGGCTGTGCTGGCCAAAGGCCAAGGCCAAGGATCAAACCAAGATCCAGGCTGCAGCTCCAGCTTCAGTTCCAGCTCGGGCTCTCAAAAGTGCCTGAGGACAGAAGGACTGGTGCGACCCCACCCTCGGGCTGCCATCTGCAATGGGACTGGGGTCATCATGTGCTATTTGTACAAATAAACCTGAGGCAGGAAAAAAGAAAAATAATTTCTTTTTTTTAATAATTGTGGCTATGACAAGTAATGGTGCTTTGAGTATTTTTGTCAATGGTTTTGGAATACTACTGACACTCATTTCTTTGAAGTAGATTATTAGAAGGGAACATATCTTTTATTGTCATGAATAATGCCAAATGTTTTTCAAAATCACCATGCCAATTCATGCTCATGTAGTAGCATATGTGAGCAGACATTTCTCCAAATCCTTGTGGACTCTTAGTTTTATCTCTCTCTAAAAATTCCATCACTGTGGCTAGTCTTTCATTTGTATAGCATTTTACTTTTAAATTTTAACCAAAAAAATCTGTTTTAATCTAATGATGCAGCACAGTAGGTTTGTTTACACCAGCCTCACCACAGACACATAAGTAATGTACTGTGCTGATATTACTACAGCCATGAAATTACTAGGCAAGAGGACATTTTCAGCTTTCTTATAATCTTATGGGACCACCATCATATATGCAGTCTGTCATTGACCAAAAAATGTCATTATGCCACATATGACTGTACTTAATAAGCAGCTGCTTAAGTTATAAGAATCAAAAGGATAATTGATATAAATGGAGAATTGGATACTATATGGGCACTTCTCCATGTTGCCTCCTTGAAGCATCACAATTGCTTTGAGGCATAATTAGTTCGGTTATATTAATTACACAGATGAAGAATGTGAGTCTCAGTTAAGTAAATTATTCACAAGACACACCAAGAGCTGGATCTCTCTGACACCGAAGACCAACCTATAACCTAACATGCTACACTGCCTGTAGTGGTGAAGTAGACTCGCCATAAGATGAAGTTTGCTTCCGCAGCTGGGGGTGTGAGCTTAGTGGGGTTGGTGTTACCAATCATTGCTCCATGGGTTCGAAATTGGTCTTGCAGAAACCCAGATGGAGAAGCTCTTGGCTGAGGGAGTGAAAAATTACTGAAAGGATATACGAGTGCAACTGAAGGATTATGCTTCCATAGAGCATGTTGTTGAGCCTCTCGGAGTAAGAACAGATAAACAGAATCACCCAGTCTTCGGTTGTACCATTCGATAAGCATTGGCATGCCATGCTCAGTGCTGTGTTGCTGGGACATAAAATACATCTCAGGCACAGCCCCCCCGAAATGGACCATTTTAAAATGCACTGGGAAGCAATGACTAATATGAGTGTCCCAACGATCAAGTATAAAACACAGTAAGCCATTGTGTTTAGTTGTGCGCTAGTGATAAATATTAACATTAAAAAAAGACTGGCCAAGTCCATCTTAATTCTTGATAATGGCATCCAAATAAAATAAACTTCAGGAGCTGGTGGAATACACTATTTAATATTAGCAATTATACCTCTAAATAAGTGTATATTCTTTACTTAGAAATTTAATTTTAAATTTGGGTATTCAGGTTAGTTCTTTTTGATAAGTAAACTCTTATAAAGTAAGGAAATAGTTTTTTTTCTTTTAGAAATATACCATATCTTACACACCAAAGTGAATGTCGTTCTTCAAATAAGTCACTCTGGGAACCCATGCACACAGAATTTTTAGTTTTAATTTTCAGTAAACAAAAGAGGGCCCAAAGAAGTACTGGTCACCTTCGGTTTCTCACTTCCACTCCCCAGAGACAACTAATTTTAAACATTTTTGTGTATAAACTTCCAAAGATATTCTTCCCATATATAAACTTTTAAAAATGTATAATATGTATGCATTTAATAGAATCATAACATGGTACAGCCTTTTTTTTTTTTTTTTTTTTTTTTTTTTTGTAACCACTGGTACCGGATCATAGATATCCATGTCAATGAATGAGATCAATTACATCCTTTTTCACTTTGTATTTGTAATAAGTGTTTTACTGAAAAGTGCACAAACCACAGTGCAAAGACAGATGAAATATCACAAAGTGAACACACGCTGGTGAGCAGTACCAGGTCAAGAAAGGACCTATTGTTTTCTTCCTTTCCCAACTTTCAACTTTGTTTCTTTTTCTTGCCTTGTTACACTGGTCAGGATCTTCAGAGCAGCTTTGAGTTGAAGTGGAGGCATCAGGCCTTCTTCCCCCATCCCCAGTCTTAGTGGGAGAGCTCTGAGTATTTCAGCACTAAATATTTAATGTCAGTTTTTTGTAGCTACCCTTTGTCAGAGTAACAAAGTTTCCTTCTAGTCTTGGTTTGCTAAGATTGTTTATCACGAATGGTTTGTTAATTGTATCAAGTATCTTTTTCTACCTCTACTGAGAGGATTACATTGTATTTCTCCTTTTCTCTGTTGATGTTGAATTATACTGCCTTGGTTTTAAACACTAATTCAATCTTGCATCCTTGGAATAAGCCCAGCTTTGTTGAGACACCACAAATTATTCTCCAAAGTGACAACGACAGCTTACATTCTCAGCCATGTATGAGAACATGTTTCCTAACTGCCCCAGCCAACACTTGATGTTTTAAGACTTTAAAAATATTTTCCCATTTAATAGATTAAAAATTAGATACAGTCAACCAAGCTGGATCTTACTTTGTTAAAAAAAAAAAAAATGTTTTTAGACAATGATAGAAAAAAGAAAGGAAAATAGTTCCTGTGTTCTATGTGGGATTGTGAGAGAAACTGCTTTTAAATATAGGATTTCTTATGAAGTTACTTAGGCAATAAGTAAAAATGGAAGGGAAACTTGACAACAGAGAGTTGCCTGTGGATTCAGACAGTGGCAGGCCTGGAATGCAACAAGGACCACCAGTTCCCAAGGGCAGTCAGTTCAGTGATAGCATCGCTAATTACCTGATCAGCACCCCAGTAGCACATGGAGAGGACAGGGAGGCCCAAGATGAGTGCAGGCCAGGGGAGGTCTCCAGTGATGGGATGTGGCTTGGTGGTCCAGTTTCCTTTGCCAGTCTTACTTGGTACGGCAGAGAGGTACATACGCAGCAGCCCCTGGTGTCTTTCCACTTCCCTAAAGGGTTACATGCACCAAGATGTTTATCAGTCTTTTAAAGAGCACAATAGCACGTGACTGAAGAACCAAGATTGCAAAGAAACGCCTCGTTTCCTGGAAACGTTTCCGGTGGGGAAGTGGTGAGGATCCACTGAAGGGAAATGCTCATGGCTGAAGAAAGATGAAGCCTGATGACTGGCGGTTGGGTTCAGCCACACAGAGACCACATTGTGCCCCGCAAGAGCAATCTGGTGGAGTGGTGCCAGAAAAGGGAGAGGGCCGGGGTCAAAGAGCCTGTGCAGGGATTTGGAACCAGAGGGCTCCTCAGAATGGGTGCAGGAGATGGTCTGTCAGGACCTGTCTAACTCCAGTTAGGGTTTGAGGGGCAGGAAGTGAGGAAATCAGCTCTGCACAGCAGGACACCCAGGGTGGGAAAGCAGGTCTCAGGGAGGACTAGGTTTCAGTCCAAACAGCAAGGGAGAGAATGTTCCAGGGAGAGGCTGCCCTGGGTCTCCTGAGGGCTCAGAGGAAAGGTTTCAGCAGATGGGGTCAGAAAAGGAGTGTTCAGGGCCATAGTGGGTGGGTGACCTGAGCTTCTTGCAGCCCCTGATGTAAACAGGGATAAAGGACATATGAGATTAGTCTGGAATCTGAGGCAGAGAGTGATGAGGAGGCTGTGAGTTTGGGGTAGGGAGGGAAAAAAGGGCCTGGCTGAAAGGAAGGCAGGGTCCTGGGCTCTCTACAGTCCAGCCTGGGAAGGACAGAGCCCAGGGAGGCCCAGAGCTCCCTCCTGACACCTGCACAAAGAAGTGTAGTCTGGCCAGACAGTGCTCTGTAGACTGCTATGGGGTTGGGGAGTGGCTTCTCCTAGGTACAGGACCTCAGGCACCTGCAGGATGCAGGGCTCCAGGGTCCCTCAGATGCCTGTTGATGGCTCTCCTCTGAGGGGGTGTAAATTGGCTCGCTGGGTACCCACAATGGGCAAGGCACTTGCTCTCAGTATAATGCACTAAACACTGACAAATTCACACCCATTTATGATAGGCACAATTACAATTGCTATCCCCATTTTAGAGCTAGGGAAACAGACACTGAGCAGTTAACTTGTCCAGGCTCCGTAGATAAACAGTCAGGGTACAGCTGGGGTCTCAACACAAGCAGGCTCCCTCCACAGTGTGAGCTCCTAGCTACTGGCTGTCCCCCTGCCCTTGTCCAGCCTTGGCTGTCTGGGGTGGCAGTTGTGCCTTTGGGCTGCAGTTGAACGACCAGTTGCCTTTTCCAGACCGGCTCCCCGTTGCCCCACTCCCACTAGCAGCCTCTTAGGTCCCAGAAGCTGATAATGGTGTGACAAAATGGGCTTTTGAGAATGGAGACAAGGGTGTGGGTGAACTGAAAAACGCTGAACAAAGGGGTTGTCCCCTCCTCATCCAGGGTAAACCATTTCCAGGAGCTGACCAGGGTGCTGACCCAAGGTGAGCAGGCCCCAAGGGGCAGGCCCGCATGTGCTACAGGGACATCTCAGCAATGTTCAAGCCCCACAGTTAAGCATTTTCCCTAATGTGGCCTAGAGAAATGATGGCGACTTTCCTGTGCCTTCCTGGGCTTTTCTCTTGGACCTCACCAGGAATGTGCATGTGAGGTTCCAGGGCGAGCCTTACTATGGACCAGGCTGTGAAACTGGGAGCTGCCTTGAGAAGACATTCCCCAAGATGTTGCCAAAAAGAGTGGTGTTTATTTCCATGACTGAAGGGGCTGCTTCTGTCCTCCTGATCAAGGGGATGCAGGGGACATGCTCAGAGGATCAGCGACCACCTGCCCTAGACCTATGGAGACAGGCGAGGGTGGCGTTGCTGCAGCTCCCCAGGGAGGCCTGTGCAGCTGTGACACCACCTCCATCACCCACTTGAGGGCTCAGCGGCTCCATACTGATCCCATGGTGCTCCCCATGCCCCTCACCCCAATCTCTGTTGTTTCTCTGAGGAGGGTTGGAGGCATTCCCTAGCCAGGCGCTGAGAACTGTCCTTTCATATTAGGAGTGAGCCTGTGGGTCTTCATACTGCACTCAAGGAGGATGAGATGTGAGCCCCTACAAGGGCTTCCCTCCTGTGCCATGGCCTGCCTGTTCCCTGACCTTTGCCTATTTCTTCTATCCTTGACTATTTTAGATATGGTCTGTCACCTGGAGGCACAGCAGGGCCCCACAGTGGCCCCAGCAAAGGCAATCGAGGTGGAGGAGCGGATGTATGGGGAGTCACAGAGGTGCTGGCCCCGGGAGAGGCCACCGAGGGGATGGAGGCTGCTGAGGAGAGGAGGGAAGGTTCAGAGTGGGATGAGATATCAGAGAGGTACCCAGCCAACAGCTAACTGAGCCTGATGCCTGAGCAGTAGGGAGTTTTCCCTGGACAGTGGGTCCTGGGGTGCGGTTCTTGCTCACCTGGGAAGGATGTGGAGTCTAGTGAGGATACAATAGTGGCCCTGAGAGGGGCATCAGGGAAAAATGAGGAGGGTTCCAGGAGCTCTGCTGTGGGCTAGAGGCAGAAAACCCTTCAGCCCAGGCCATAACCCAACCAGGAACAGGGATGAATCTCCCAGTCCCATCCATTAACTCGGTTAGAGGACCATTTACTCGGTGAGGGGTCCATGGTTGTGCCATCACCAAGGGGCATGAAAAGGCTGGAAAAGGGAACACTTCCATGTAGTTTTCAGTTTTAAAATGCACATTAGCTATAAAAGCTACTGGCAAGTCCTGCAGTTGGAAAACAGTTAATTTTATATAACCTTTAAAGTCAATAATTCTATTCACTGTCCCAACCAACTTAGCAAGCCCTAGAATGCTCCTTCAAGACACTGGTGCTCATGTCGCTAGTGCTGGGACACGAGGCACACAGGTGATTCACTGTGATTAAAAGGATCAGGCTCAGTGTTGACACCAGCCAGGCCAGGGACAGAGCATGGGGCTGAGATCTCAACCTTGAAGAGTATCCAATTCTAAAGACAGGGTGCAGGGTACAGTTAGTGTATGGTTATGGCTGGAGCCATCATGGCCAGCCTGTGTGAAGTTAGGACTCAGGTGGACTGGGTCAAATGAGAAAGGTGCCATCCCCATCACAGAATGGGCATCCATTGGTTGTCTGATGGAAGCTGTGTCAGAATCCTATTCCGTTAGGAATTGGGGCCAGGTCACACTAGGTCAAGGCAGGGTGAATGTGACTTGAGGGCTACAGGCAAGAACAGGCTTTCACGGGACTCAGCTACCCTAGACCCCAACTCACCAGGCCCTACTCCCTCCCTCACTCATGTGGCTCAGCGCCCCCATGTGACAAGGCCTTGAGCCAGTGTGGGACACAGGAACCCTGCAGAAGGGAGGAGGGAGGGGAAGTCCCTGGACTCCAGGGGGCTGCAGGAAGGGTCATCTAAGGACAGGGCTCCTGAGTCTGCAGGACACACTCCCTTCCTTCCACACGAGAATCCCAGAGGGGACAAGGGGCAGGGTACATAGCGTAGACCCCTGTCCTATGACCAGGTAGCTGGAGGGCAGCAGGGAGAGGACAGCAGAAAAGACCCTGTAGAGTAAGAGAAGTCCAGGACAAACTCTCTGGTCCTCCAAGGCCTTTACTCCATAGGGAGGCTCCAGGACCCACATTTGGGTAAAAGAGACCTGAAGGGCAAAGGCCTGAATCCCTCAGAACAGAGGAGTCAGGTCACAAATATGCCCAGCATAGACCACAGCAGAGGATCTAGGAGATCGGGGGGCAAAGAGATCCCAGATTCCCTGTCAGGATGTCAGGAGGTGGCAGGGGCAGATGACTGAAGGTCCCCTGTGTGTGTGACAGGTCAAGGCCTACGAGGGTCTCAAAACAGGCAGGGGCCGGGCTCTGGAGTTCTCAGGACTGGCAGATTTGTTTCAGGAACACTCTGAGGCACCCTCCTCGGGGACATTGTGGCCCACATCTGAAGTGTCCTGCACTGGAACCGGGGGCCTGACCCCTGCTACACACTAAGGTCAGGGCTCCCTCCATGGAAGCTCAGCCTCTGATGTCCTGTCCCTCCTACACCCCACAGGATAGCCGAAGGCCACCCACACAGTCACTCTGTTTCTGCCCTCCTCTGAGGAGCTCCAAGACAACAAGGTCACACTGGTGTGTCTCATCAGTGACTTCCCCTCAGGTGCTGTGATGGTGGCCTGGAAGGCAGACGGCACCCCCATCACCCAGGACATGGAAACTACAAAACCCTCCAAATAGAACAACAAGAAGTACGCAGGCAGCAGCTACCTGAGCCTGACCAGTGGAGGTCCCACAGAAGCTATAGCTGCCAGGTCACGCATAAGAGGAGCACTGTGAAGTTGACAGTGACCCCTGCAAAACATGCTCGGGCCCCCGACTCTCACCCCGTCCATAGGGTCCTGGAGCTGCAGGATCCCAGGGCAGGGGTCTCCTCTCTCACCCCAAGGCATCCAGCCCCTCTCCCTGCATCCAAGTAACCCTCAATAAATATTGTCAATTAGAAATCCTGTTCCATCTCATTATTTTTTATCTCATGTTCAATTTGCTACCTCCAGGAGAGGCTCTCATCTATCTGAGACATCATCCAAAGAGGCTCTTCCTCACCTGGTCACCCCTTCCCTCCATACTCCACTGTAGCCTGGAGGCCTGCATGGCATCTTGCTCAGGCCAGGCAGATCTTGCAATCCCCCCGCCACCCCGCCCCCGATTCTGATGACAATGACCCACCGTGCCTTTTCTGGTGGCCCCAGGATCCTCCTGAGAGAACCCAGTAGACCTGGCTTTCTGTTCTCTGTTCACATTCTGTCCTGGGCGCATCTTTCTCCTGCTTCATGCCTGAAGTTGGTCATTAACCCCAAGTGGACCGGTTCCTTGAAGTGGCAAGCGGGATTTAGAGATCACACTCGGGGTGCTACTAACACAGCCCTTTTGAGTCAGACACCCCGAACACACCCAAAAAGGACACGAGACCCGGAGAGGGTGATAGGAGCTTGCTTCCAACCTCTCCTTGGAGGTTGAGGCTGGAATTTCTTACTAACACCTGGCGAGACCCATCCCAAACTAAGACAACACCAAGGGAGGATGGAAGGGAGAACCCTGGAGCTGTGTTGTGGTCAGATTGGACCTTCCCATGGCTGCTGAGACTCTGGGACAAGCTGCCCCTTCTCTGGGGCATTGGGGACACCTGAGGATGCCTCCCTGCTCTTACTTTGTGGTCACACCAAGAGATCAGGGTTACAACAACCCTGTAATGTAGAGAATTCCTGTCCCTTTCCATGCCACTTCCCCCCTTAGGGAAGCAAACGCCCTCCCAGGAGCCCATTCCCATTCCTGGGCCACAGTCAAAGGGAAAATCTGATCCAGACACGAACTTCCTTGGGCCTCCGCATTTCCAGATGTCCTGTCATTACGTGTGTGAGGTCGACTATCCCATCTCAGCCAGAGAAGGGCAGGCAGGCGTGTGGACACTCTGCCGAGCCAATGCCTTGTGTCCCTCTGAGGATTCCATCATTTCAACAGTGTGTGAGCCTGTGTCACAGTGTTTGATGTTCAGCATCAAACCTGCAAAGGCTTTCTTAAACAGAAAGGTTTACTGAAGTTCAGCATGATTTTTCATCTAATGCCAAGTTAAGATTGCCTTTCTTTGTCTGAGACAGCAGTGTTGCTTTATCTTTTTTTTTCTTTATCAGTTGAATTCAGATATGAAAACTCAATCATATACATTACAGATGTTAGTGACAGTTTCCTCTTGGGGCTAGAAGGAGAGTCTCTTACAAACTGATCCCTGATGCAAGAGGACACTCAGATCTGGGAGTATCAGGTTCTAAGCTATTGATAGGGGGCCTTTTCCTCAGTTGCAATTTTTCCCCCTTGGGTTAAGATTTTTGCATTTGCCAACCAAAATAGATGTGAGAGAAACATCCCCCAGAAAAAGTGTGTGTCCTTTGGCACAGGTAGATTTTCTCTGCTCTTGCTTTTATATTCCCTTGACTTGACCACCATTTCCCATCTTGTTTTTACAAAGCCACCAAGAAGGCCTGTACAAACAGTACATAATATGAGCTGATTCTCACAGTGTTTGTTTTTCTGTAATTGCAGGTAGTCTCAGAAGAAGAAAAAAAAAAGCAAAAAAAAAAAAAAAAATTAAAATCATGCGTATTCTGGTGAAGTCACTGGACCAGATTTTGCTGAGGAAAATCTAGATGATATGCCTGAGGGGTCTTTCTTTCTGACTTTAGTCTAGAGAGCCACCCTGACTCTAGTTTTCTGAGGGGAATGAGGATTGGTGGTGTGACAGGAAAAAAATATTTTCTAGGCACAGCACTATGTTCATGTGTTGACAAGCAGCTGTGTTCCCTCTTGATGCCATGTTTGTGTACATGGACAGTGGGGTGTGTCTATATGTGAATTTAAGTGGTGTGATTGTGTGTATGTCTGTGTTTCCCCTAGAGTTATATCTCCCTTACACAGCAAACCTGCAAGGGTCAGCTTCCTCCATTAATAATCCCTTCACCATTGCTCCCTTGGGCATATCTGTCTTCTACCTGGGTGTACTACAATTCGGTTCTGATGATCACCACACAGTCTGTATCTGATCCCACAAGTCCAGGACAAAACCTTCCACCTGACTGCCCTTACTTGAGACACCATCTGCACTTTAGGGATGTGCAGGCCACTATGAATTCAGAGATTACCAACACTGCCACCCTAAGACTCAATAATTCACTAGAAATACCTCACAGAACTTAGGAAAGCACTACCTTTACTATTTGCTTATAAAGGACTCACATAGGGCAAGGTGTGTGGGGGGAAGGTGGCAGGGAGCAGGGTCTTGGAAGCATAGCTTCCATATCCTTTCTCCTGGGAGTCACAGGGTGTCTCCCCTTCAGCTTATCAATTGTTCATAAACCTGGGAGTTCCACCGAGCTTTGGTGTTCAGGGTTTTTATTGGGGTTTCATTGTAAGTAGACATGATCGATTAAAGACTTGGCTATGTGACTGAAGTCAGTCTCTAGTCCCCACCCCCACCTTTCTGAAGGTTGGTTGGCCCAAACAACCCTCTCATAACGTGGTTGGTCTTTCACTCTCATCCATAAGCTGTCCAGGGCCCACACTGAGCCCCCTCATTGGCATAACAAAGGCAATCTTATGCAGGAAATTTCAAGGGGTTTCAAAATCTTGTGACAAGAACTGAAGACACAGACTGGCTATATTCATTATTACACTTCAGGATGTATGACAAAATTTTTCAAATTGTACACTTTTAAGTATGTGCAGTTTATTGTATGTAAAGTATAAAGCAAAAATAAAATTCTAAGCCTCTCAACTGACTGAAGAGATTCCCCTTCTTGGCCAAGGACATTCAACAGTAAATCTGAAAAATTAATTCAAGACATGATGGGATTGGGGATGGGGGTCAGAGGTGCCTCATTTTACCCTCCTCCCTTTGGAATCAGGCACAACTGACCGGCATTACTATTAAAACATAAATCTTAAGACTGAAAAACAGACTCTTTGTAGCAATAAGATACTAAATTCCAACCTGACACTACTATAGCATCACATGACAGACAGCAGGTCCTGAAAGCAATCTAAGTATTCCAAAATGTTTTATCTGACATATTTAAAAATGGCCCTGGCAAAGCTGTCTCTTGCAGAGAAAATCTACATCCTATCGAGATTCCCCTTCCCTTTCCAGGTCTTTTCCTAACCCAGAAGAGTTTAAGAGTGTTGCACCTTTTTAAGTTTGATCAGACACATTTATCATCTATTCTCTCTGAAGCCTGCTATCTGGAGGCTTCAGCAGCACAATAATCATGATCTCCATGAGCCCTTATGTTAACCCTGACATTCCTTTCTATTGATTCCAGGTCTTTAGATAATAGCTCTTTCAACCAATTGCCAATGAGAAAATCTTTGAATCCATCTATAACCTGGAAGCCCCTACTTTGAGCTGTCCTGCCTTTCTGGACCAAATCAATGTATACCTTACAGGTATTGATTTGATATCTGCCTATAACTTCTATCCTCCTAAAATGAATAAAATAAAGCTATAACCCAACCATCTTGGATACACATTCTCAGGACCTCCTCGGGCTGTGTCATGGGCCTTGGTCACTCATATTTGGCTCAGAATAAACTTCCTTGAATATTTTACAGAGTGAGACTCTTGTCGTTGACACAAGTATACATCAATAAACAAGGGGAAAAAATACTGTCACCATCCAGGAAAATGTTCACAGCGTTCTAGAAGAAAAGCTGTGTGCCAGGATTCCTATTACTGGCTCAACACCTTCCATTCATAATAATTTCACTTCCAAGTAGGCCCTGACTGTTTCTTGTGGAAGTTTGATTGATCGTAGAAGAGAATCTGTAACTCCTTAGGTGACTTATGAGAAAAAAGAGGCTTGAGAATGTGGACAACTTATGCAGAGTTGCACATCCAGCAAATGGAAAGGGAGTCCCTTTTAGATTCACCCTGTGATTCCCAATCCCATGCACTTTCTTCCCACCTTTACTTCCTGGGAGAGATCCTAGACTTCTACTATGAGTTTGGCATCCATTCGGATTTTTAATCCTTGTTCCTGAGTTTCCTGGCCTAGGGCACTTTCCAGGGCAAAGACTGGAGGAATCTCAGAGCCCCTGTCCCCTCAGATAACTTTTAGCATTTCAAGGGATATTTTCCAAATTGATGCTTCACTCCTGTACCTCTCTCCGTATTCCCCAAAGGCATTATTATTACAGGAAGCCTCAAAATCAATTTTCACCCCATGTTAAAAGCAACGAGTCCTAGCCAGGGCTCCTTCCTTTTTCAGGGAGCCCCTAGTGCAGTCATCCACCACCACGAGTTCCAGCAGGAATCTGAGAAAGGAGGGGTCTCCAGGCAGAGTCAGGTACATTTTCCTTTAGCTTCTCAGTTGAGGTCTAATGTTTCACTGAAGAAAATGTTGCCAGGAATATGAAATCGCATGCCCATGTGGAAAATCTGCCTCCCATCAACTATGGCAGCCATGGCTTCTGTGTGGCAGGGCAACACACACTATGTAAAGTGACAAGGGGCTTCTTCAGGGATAGAGCATCAGGGTGGGCACATGGCTCCCTTCCTGAGGAGGAGGACATGGTAGGTTGTGCACTGCAAGGTGGGGAAAGATAAACATGGCCGTGCAACAGAAGAATCCCTACTCCAGTTTCTGTGAAACCTTCTGGGTGAAACAGGTTCCTGCTGGCTTCTGAGGGCCTTTGCAAGGAAACAGGATTCTGGCTTCAGCAAAGGTAAAATGAGGCAAATTATGGCTTGAGGAACCTTTGGGATCATAAACACCATGTGAAATGCTTTGTATTTTCATAGAATTCCATTGCCCTACAATTGAGTTCTTAGTATTTTTCCCCACAAAACAAAAAGATGAGACCGCTGAAAAGGGTAACTTTTTGCCACAGAAACACGCTTCTCATATCAAGATTCTCCTAGAAATTTTTCTTCTCTAGAACACAGGTTCCCAGCGGTGCTTGAGAAAAAAAACCTGAGGTGAGAGACCAAATGCTAAAATGAGTGACACCAAGACCAAGGGCTCCAAGAACTCCGAGACAGTCACCCAGTGAGCTCTGCGGGAGAAAGCAGGACTCAGGGCCCCAGGCTTGACCTTTAGAGGAGAAAATATAGAGTGGCAGATGGATGTCACACACTGCCTGGGCCAGGCAAGGATGAGGATGGGGGAAGATGAATCCCAGGATTTTAATCTCGGGATAATTATCACATCATCATCCTGAGTCCAGTGATTTCTCTGCTCCTTCTAAGTGGGAAAGAGCAAGGAGTGGCTGTTGTGGCTTGAGTGAGCTCAGCATAGACATCTCTGAAACTTCTCAGGACAGGGGGCTCCTTCCTGCTGAAGCTCTGTGACAGGAGCTGGGGGCTGGCATCTTCATCCTCCTTTGTGACAAACCAGGCTTTTCCCATCATGGAAGCTAATGAGGGGCAGAGAGCAGGAACCAGGTTTCCAGTCCTCTGAGCCAGACTGGGAGGACATAGGTCAGCAGGGACAACCTCAAGGTCAGCCCAGACACAGAGAGGTTCCCAGGCCGGATCTCCCTGGTCCTGGGCAGGGATCACATTCTTTCACCTGCTTCCGGAAGTTGCCTGTCAACTGCCCTTGTGTAGACAGTGCTAGCCAAGGATTGCCCAGCTCAGAAGCGCATTGAAACTGAAGGCTGTGTGGCACCCCCTGGCCACGGCGTCTGCACTCACTATAGCTGTTGGGCAGGGGGGTGGGCACCAGCTCCCACGCAGGGCCAGCTCAGCAAAGTGAGGGAGGCTGATCCCAGAACCTCAGGTCATCTTTGTTCCTCCCTTTTATCGCCCGGAGGACATGCATTTAAGAGTTTCTCTGAAATGGTCTTGGAGTCCTCAGGCCCAAACTGTGTCCTCCCACTCATGGGGAGAGGAATTCTGGCCACGGCTGGTCAGTGTGAGGGCAGGAACTCTGCCCTCGCACTTCCTTTCATCATAGCACTCGGCCCTGGGCAGCCCGTCTTAGGCCCCATGAAGGTCTCATGAACACACCCTTAGCTGGGCTCTAGTCAAGCTTGAGTGGGCAAAGGTTCCCTCCTCACCCTGTCCAGACTGCGGGACCTCACACTGGGAGAGGTATTTTCCCAGGGTCTGACCCAGGTCAGGGGAGGTGAGGGGTGTGCCTCTGCTCTGATCTGGTCTAGACAGGGTCTGCTCCTCCCCTCTATGTGCAGGTGCACTCCCTCACTCCCACTGGATCCCTCTGGGCCCTCTGCTCTCTTCACTGTTGTGTCCCCAGGCCTCACACAGTGCCTGGCCCTTGTGCAGGGGCCCAGAAAGCACCCATACATGAATGATTGGATCAGAACCGCCAACTTTTCTGCAAGGAAATACCTGGGGAGGAGAGTCACGTCTTCCTCATCTTTGTATCTCTAGAGCTGCACTATCCAGCATGGGAGTGTCCCTACCTGGAGGTGCTGTTTATAACTAATTAGTGCAGTTCATTAAAATAAAATGAGACATTCCACTCATCAGTCACACTGGCAACATTTCCGGTGCCCCAGAGAGTTACGTGCTGCTGGCCACCATATTCAACAGCAAAGAGAGAGCATTTCCAGTTGCACAGAACGCACTCTTGGGAAGCTGTTGGAATGGGGTCTCTTCATTGAACTCATCTAATTAAGAAGCCTGTGCATCAAAGTTGGAATTTCAGGTTAATGAGACTGGAGGTGAGAGCTATAATCCAATAGAAACGGGGAAGTGGGAAGATAAAGGCGGTAGATTTGGGATTGCGTTTAGAAACATTTATTTTTAATGCTGGAGGCTTTATCTACTAGTAGCTTTATTTTAAAATATTTTATATAAAAAATAAATATATAAATATAAAAAGCAGCCTAAGCAAAGGCAGGCCTGGATGGACTGTTCTGAGCACTACACTTGGTGCAGTGGTCGCGTTTCCTTCCGTAGAAGCCCAGTGATCCCGGTAAGTTTCTCCTGGCTTCCTGGCCCTGTCCTCAGACTTCCTTATGGAAAGTACCCCGCACCTCTGTTGGCTTTTTCCAGCTGTTCTGCTCTGCCCCCCACCTTCTGAGGATACTGCCCCACTCATTCTGTGCTAATCATATGTCTTGTGCTCAGAACATACATGGAATAACTAGTTTCTTTCTTAAACCCTGATGTTAGGTGTGATTCCCATCCCCACCCATAGCACACTGCTAGGGTACTGTTGACATTCTGTGTGTTGAACTGGGGGTTAGCAACAGACTTGTTCATAGAAGTCGTAAGGCTGTACACTTCCTATCTGTGCACCGTACTGTAGGTAAAATCAGCATCGATTTAAAGACAAAATATAGCAAGAATAAAAATTTTTTTTTTGCCACAAAGCCAACCTTAGGCACAGGTTGATTTCCTCTGATTTCTACCCAATGTTTGAGGTAGAAAGAATGCCAGGTCTCCTACATACTCTTCCAGAGGGTAGATGTCCGGGGACTCATCCACGCTGCCTTCAACAGATCAAGAGACTCTTGATGCCACCCTAGCAATGAACACTGCAGGGAAGGGGAACGAATCTCAGGCCAAAGGCTCCTGAGTGTGTCTAGCAAAATCTGACGCCAATCTTCAGCAGAGTCTCGATTCAGAGATGTCTGGAAAAGAAAGCAACTGAAATCTCATGGTGGAATTTGCATGGGATTAATGAGGACAGGACCACTGGCTGTTTAGGTGCTGCTGGGGTGAGAGATGAGGAGGGACAGTGCCACTGGGTTCGTGGAGTGCACATTTGGTGACAGACAGGAGGCAGCCCTGGGTAGTTCTCAGGAAGGATCCTGGGATGGGGTCTCCAGGCTATGGCAATGGACGACAGATCCCTCTAAGAGGAGATGAACACTGCCTCTGCCCCCACAGGGTCTAGGTAGGAAAGAGGAGTTTGTAGAGACTGAGCTTTGGTGAGGAAGGACGTGAGCAGAGAGGCGCCCGCTCTGTGTTGGAGCAGCCATTACCGTACCTTTTCAGCCAGGCCCGAGTCCGGGCTGCTCAGACAGCTGCTCAGACCTTTAGTCCATAACATCTTGAGAGCCTGTAGGTTACTGTCACTGAGTCACCCAAGCACCAGCCCAGTAGGCCTCTTCCCCAGTTAATTCACCTTCACTGCTCATAACTTTGTCAGTTGCAGTGAAGCTATTCTTTGTGAGGCTGTGTCCTATGGGTGTGTCTGGCTTGTGTGTCCTGATCTCTGAGCCAGCTGGGAGTCAAGCAGGCCACTAGTCACTCAGGGTAGTCGCTGAAGCACTGGAAACCTCACCTTGAGGCAGCTCACGGCGTGAAGGTGCTGGGGGAGGAGTGACACAGATTTGGACAGCCTGGTTCTTCAAGGGACCTTTGTTCGGGGTCAGTTGCATCATATTTTGGGCAAGAGATTAAAATACTGAGGCAGAAACCTGGGCCAGACAGCTCCTGCAGGACATCACCTTTCCCCAAAGCAATCTTACAGCAAGAGGATTTGGGAAATGGAGTGAGAGAAGCCCCGGTTCAGGGGCCCAGGGAATGATCTAGAGGACTCCAGGCTTGGGGATCTCTATCTCCAGGAAACCAAATACATTCTTAGCTCAGGCCCATCCCTCCTCAGTTTTGTGGCTCTGGGAAAGTCACTTCACCCCTCCAAATTTCAGTGCCCTCAACTGTAAAATAAGTTACAGCCCAGCTCTGCCCACCCCACAGGGCTCATGTGAGGGTCACGAGATGACAGCAGATCCTCTTGAAAGGCTATAAGGTATCCTACCCATATAAAGGCTGGAAACTGACCTTACACCTTGCATGACTTGTAGCCATCCAGGCTTCTTCTCTGGAGGCAGCCATTGCTACATGTCTGCCTCATTCCTCCAGACATTTCATATTTGAACACTTTTGTAGCACTTAGGAGGTCATTCTTATTCAGGCTTAATCTGGATCTGCTTAGAGTAAGTTTCATAACATAATGCTAATAGGCAGGCCCCATTAACATCTCCACATCACATGGCAGGGAACTGAGCACAGAGAGGTTAAGTCACTTTCCCAGGGTCACACAGCTTCTAGCTGGTATCTGAGCCCAGGCCATCAGGCACCTTCCTTTTGCTCTGGGTCACTGAGCTCAACCGCCTTCTTGAATTGTCTCCTCTCATTAGAGTAACATCCCCATGCAATCAGCCCATTGTGTATTTTAAGTGCCGACCACACTGCAGGACCCCTCCTCCTAAGCCCAACTTTGACTCTGTCTCTCCCTAGGCCCCTGGTGACCACAAGTGTGACCTGGGAAAGATGAACACTGGCCCATGGTCTCCTGCCAGCAGCCTATCAACAGAGGTCTCTACTTTGAATGTATTTTTCTCAAGCTCATGGCTCATGGACACAACAAGAGATCATGAAAGATTCAAACACAGGATATGCCAAAAAATTGATCTGGGGTCAAGGAAACCTCCTGCCTATCCCCAGAAGCATCTCAATCAGCACCTGACCAACAGCAGGTGGAACCTCAGATATCAACCGCTGCCAGCTTCTCCACTGAAGGTGCTGCGGACCTGAAACCATCAGGAGATTGGAGTCGTTGTTGTGGTTTATATAGTAGGGCCTGAGTCTTGGTAGGAAGGGCAGGAGCAGGGAGCCGCCCACTCAGAGCTGGGGCAGTTACTACCCCTTCTCAGCCAGGCCTGAGTCCAGGCTGCTTGAGCAGCTGTTCTGGTCAATAGGCATTGAGAGCCTGGCAGCTTGTAGGCTTCACTCCCTGAGCTGCCCAAGCACCAGCCGCACCAGCCCCACAGGCCACTTCTTCAGTTAAGGAATCTTAACTGCCCAGCACCCTGGTTTGGTCAGTTGAAGGTGAATCTGAATCTGAGTCCAACTGTCATGTGGGCAGTTGGCTAGGAACATTCTGCATTCCAGGTCAGTTGGGAGTCAAGGTGGCTACTGGTCATTCAGGGTGATCGCCTGACCACAGGGAAGTCTCCCCACAAGGCAGCTACAGAGTAAAGTCGGGGGGAGACAGAGACAAACTTGGACTCCCAAGCCTTCAACAGGGCTTCATTTGGGTGAAAGTCTTGCATTTTGGGTAAGGGGTTGAAATGTAAAGCCGGGAGTTGAGTCAGGATTTGGGCCCTTCTCTTGAGCCAGGCACCTCCTCCAGGGCATCAGCATCTCCCTGCAGCAGCCTTGGGGATGGGAAGATTTGGAAAAGGAGTGAGGAGGGGAGGGTCCTTGCTTTGGAGTCCAGGGCGTGGACTCCTGGTCTCAGGCATTCAAGAATCTCCATCCCCGGGGAACCAAGTAAATTCCCTGCCTTAGCTTCATTACTCATCAGTGTTGTAACTCTGAGAAAAGTCACTGAATCTCTCTACATTTCAGTGCCACGAACCATAAAATAGGAGTCAGTTCCTACTCTGCCCATCCCATATCACAAGAGATAAGAAATTTTTTTTCCATGGGCAGTAAAGCATCGTGCCCATGCCAATGTGGAAAAGTGGGGCTCTGTCCTTCCTTGACCTGTCGCCTACATGTCAGGCACAGTCCCCCAAAATGAATCATTTAAAAAAATGCACTGGGAAGCAATGACTAATTTGAGTGTCACAACTATCAAGTACAAAACACAATAAGCCATTGTGTTTAATTGTGTGCTAGTGTTAACATTAAGACAACCTGCCAAGTCCACCTTAAAAGTGAATAATGGCAAATATATAATGATAATATCTGTGTCTAGGACAGTTTATCTACCAAAACATAATTTAAAAACATATTTTTGTGGATTATTCAAAATTCCCTATGTACAGAGATATCAATAATATGCTTTTACCCAACCTATTCCTCTCCTCAGAAGTAGGGAATACACAAATCAGGTCTCCTGTGACACTACACAGAGCACTTTTCCAAGGCTAAGCTACGGTCATCTCCATAACTTGGCAACAGGCTCAGTTTGAGCCACTTTACACTGAAGAGAAATAAATCATACAGGAATAGTATGTCATATGCTTAGGACCTTCCACGATGGTAGATAATTCTCCTCCCCAAGTGAACTGGTGTTGATTCCATTTGACCAGGTATCTGTTGATCTTTCATCAGGTCACCGCTTCATTTTGTAGACAGCGTGCACTTAAATTTTTTTTTTTTTTAATCTTTTTCAGAAGTAGCTACTGTACGGAATCAGGATGTCACAAAAAGCATTTTTGACACTTGTATCTCATTCTTTTGGCACAAGGTTAGAGTTAAGTTGAACTGATTGTTTTTGGACAAAGCAGCTGTGCATCATGACATCACCCCTAACTTGGGAGCTTATCTCTTGGGTTTGCATGCAGCTCTGGAACTTGCTAAGCTGTGAGAGAAGCAAGTCAGTTCTCCTTTAGTTTATCCTCCTGAAGATAGACAATGCACACTTTATTTTCATTAACCCATTCAATCCTCACTACAGACCTCACCTAAGTAGTGGTTGTTTACTATTCACACTCTCCTTGGAGAAACCGAAGTGCTAATGAATGTGCCAATGCTTCTAAGCCCCTAAGGGAAGGAGGCAAGATGCAAACCTAAGCATGTAGCCCTAAAGTTGAATTGATAATGAATGGTTGAGCTGCAGTTATTACCCCGAATTACCCTGAGAAGATCAACCCTACCATCACATGTAGCCATAAGGTGGTTCCCTCACACATGCAAGTCCTAGATTTACATGAGTCTACGGAGATCCCAAGCACTGTCTATGATTACAAAATGGTGGCTGCAGCAGTCACGTAGCTTAGGGCAGACATCAGTGAATAAAACTGCAGGATGTGGCACAGCCATTGATGTGAAAAGTACGGAGATGGCCCCAGATACCTCTGACAACAGGGTCGAATACAAGTTCTGAATATCAGGGGCGGGGCAAGCTGATCCAGCACTTGGAGGAGAGGGGATACGAGTCAGGATGAGACATCCTGGCTAACAGTGAAACCGTCATAAAAAACAAAAATAGCGGGGGGGGGGCGTGTATCGGGAGGTGAGCAGAGGGTAACGGGAGGGAGTTGCAGACAATCGCACTATCAGGGTGACAGAACTTAAAAAAAAAAAAAAAAAAAAAAAAAAATATCGATAAACTCCTTTCAGTGCTGGGAACATTCCTCAGCAGTTGGCCGCAAACATTTTAAGATGAAAAAGATATTTTTGAGATAGTTGAAAACTCTATCAACACAAGACCTAGGAATGATCAAATCCTGCAAGCTACATACATTAGACACAATGACAAGACAGCAAAAGAGCATTTGGTTATTAGTTCACCACACTCATTGCAACTCTCTGCACTGCAGTGTTAAAACACATCAGCATCCAGTCTATGTCTCCTTCCTTGAAATAAACTATGCTCAATTGACTGGCAAGTACAAGGACAGATACTCTCCATAGGCAATTAGTACACATGCATGACAAAGGAAAGGTAGACTGAATAAGGAAATATCACGATTAAAACCAGTTATTTTACAGGATATAATTTCAATATTTCCAATTCTTCCATTGACTATAACAAAGGATCAGTAAATACAATGGACTGTTTTGCCTAGAATTGAATCCATCTGTCTCAACTTAGCTTTCATTCAAGAGTTCAAAATCCAGCCGGGCGCGGTGGCTCACGCCTGTAATCCCAGCACTTTGGGAGGCCAAGGCAGGCGAATCACGAGGTCAGGAGACCGAGGCCATCCTGGCTAACACAGTGAAACCCCATCACTATAAAAATACAAAAAATTAGCCGGGCGTGGTGGCGGGTGCCTGTAGTCCCAGCTACTCAGGGGGCTGAGGCAGGAGAATGGCGTGAACCCGGGAGACGGAGCTTGCAGTGAGCCGAGATCGCGCCACTGCACTCCAGCCTGGGCGATAGAGTGAGACTCCCTCTCAAAAAAAAAAAAAAAAGAATTCAAAATCCTAAAAACAGAACTGCAGTCACAGCCAGTGTGAATCCATAAATGGAAAAAATGTTCTTGAGACATAAATCATACAAATATTGTTATTTCTCATTGACACAATAAATCCCTAGTGTCCTCTTCTAAAAAATAACACCCACCATGATTACACATTGTAAACCAAAGAGTTATCTGAAGCAAGTCTCAATCAATTTAATTAATTTGAAAAGGTTAAGGACATGCTGGTGACACAGTCTCAGGAGGTCCTGAGTACATGTGTCCAAGGTGATTGGGCTACAGTTTGGTTTTCACATGTTTTAGGGAGACATAAGACATCAATTAATACATGCAAGATGTAAATCCATTCAGTCCAGAAAGACAGGACAACAGAAAGTGGGAGAAGGGTGGGCTCTAGGTCATAAGGAGGATTTCAAGATTTTCTGATTGTCGATTGGTTGAAAGAGTTTATCTAAAAGCCTGCAAACAATAGAAGAAAGTGAGTTCAGATAAGGGGTTGGGGAGACCCAGGGTTTTATCATGCAGATGACGGCTCCAGGTAACAGACTTCAGAGAGAAGAGATTGTAAATATTTCTTGTCTGATTTGAAAAAAATGCCAGACCTTTAGTTCTTTCCCGGATCGGGAAAAAGACCCAGAAAGGGAAGGGTATTCTCTACAGAATATAGGTTTTCCCCACAAGAGACAGCTTTAAGGGGCCATTTCAAAGTATGTCAAGGAAATATATTTTGAGGAAAAAAAACTTTGATTTCTTTCAGGGCCTGCTTTCTGTCATGTTGGTATCTTACTGCTGCTACAAAGCATCTGAGTTGTCAGCCTTAAGGTCTCTATTTTAATGTGAATGCAGGTGAGTTGTGCTTGAATTCCAAAGAGAGGAGAGTATAATGAGGTGTGTCTGACCGCCCATTCCCATTAGGGCCTGAACTAGTGTTTCAGGCCTTCTTTAGAATGCCATTGGCCAAGAAGAGGGGTCCATCCAGTTAGCTGGGCAGTTTACAATTTTACTTTCTATATACTTTAATTCATTCAACCCTTGCCAGAGCCACACCTGGAGTTTGACTTGTTATTCCCACTGCTCAGGTGGAGAATATGAAGTGCCAATATGAGTGATCCAAGTTCTGGAGTTCCTGAATGAAAAACTCAAAACATGAACCCAGGCACATGGTCCAATGCTGATGCTCTCAACTCCTGACATGCATTTCTGCCTCAGCCATGGGGTTTTAGTCTCTATGTAGAGAGTTCGGCATTTCCCTATAAGCCTTAAAGCACTGAGCCTAAGAGATCCCAGACACTGACCATGGTTATAAAGCAGGCTTTGTGGTCACATAACTCAGAGTCATGACAGGTACTTTTCGCACAGACAGATGCATAGTCATTAGTGTTAAAAGCACAGAGACACCCAGATGTTTTCTGTCAGCTCAAGAGTCTAAGAGGCATCACATAGGCCTGTGGCCCACCTCTGTCAGTTCTGAAGTTACTTGGCTCAACAGCTGACCAAACCCTGTAAGGATCAGTGATCTATTTTAGTATATTTTGTAATATGACCTCCATTGGGGAGAAAGTGCTGAAATCCTAAAATGCTGAAATCCTGACAGCTAAAAGTGGTAAGGAGAGTGACAAATGAGAACCCAACGCACCACTTGGTTATTAGGCCTGGGTTCCATCATTTTGTGGCAACTTTCTTGTACATCTGAATCGCAGATGTTCAGCCTCAACTCATCCCCTTCCTCCATGATGAAAAATCTCCCCCTTGACTGCCTAGTGTCACCTGGACAGCCATCAGCCCGATGGAAATGAAATTTAGCTTGGAAGCAAGTATAAATCTCATGCAACAGATAAATGCATAGCAGCATGATCCTGCAACCTGTGAGGAAGACAATGGCAATTTAACTCAAGCCAGGTAGGAGGAATGAGGGAACCCTGTCACCAAATCACAGCATATAGTTCAAGACCTTTTGGAGACGATTTTGTGTTACATTAGGTGAACTTTGGCTACTAAGCCAAGGACTCTGTTTCTCATTTCTTTCCTGCTCATCTTTGTCATCCTTCTTCCACAAGGGAAGATAGCATACACAGAAAGAAATTTCCATACTAATCCTCAAAAGTTATGTAGTTTATTATCATCCAGGTAATGAAATGCAATCTTCTCTGTGTGCCTGACCAGTCTTCTCTCTGTGTTTTTATTTCATAAATATATTTGTAATTTTTTATGTGCTAGATTTTTTTGGAGGCCACAAAGTAAATGAGATATGATCTTTATGTTGACAGTCGGTAAGTTAGATTTAACATGACTGATGTTTTTTATAAACTTGTGATTTTTTATACCAATATTTTGTATGTCTGAATGAATAGGCATCCAAAAACATCTTGTAAGCTAGTTGAAAAAAAAAAAAAATCACCCCCCACGCATGGACAATTTTTAATGAATTTATTCATTGCTATTTTTATGCATTTCCTCGTTTCAGTGGATAACATACAGTTGAACCTGGAAACTTATTCTCATTGCAGAAAGTATTCAGAGTCATGTCCCTCCGCTTCACTGGTGTAGGCAGAGCAGGCTCTGTGAGCCTGGCCTGTTTGAATGAAACCTGATGTTTAGGGATTTCCTCAGCAAGAATGACACAGAAGTTGCTGGAGCCTCTGATCACAGGGACCCAAAAAGGTACGTGTGCACACACCATGGTTCCCCAAGAGGACTTAAAAAAGGAAATCAAGACGATTCTTAATTGTAGCATTTTAGCATTTAATTTTTTCATGACCTGTATGAAAAAGAATGTGTGGTAATTAGAATTTGGCTAAAATTGAATCAATTTCAACCATCAAGTAGCCTTTTAATCAAGTAATAAATTCTTTGAAACAGATGCTATGAATCTACTTCCTGTTTCTATAGTACAGTGCCTTTCCGTATTAACCTTAGGGTGATTATTTCACATTGATGAGGTTGCCCTAGCTAGAAAGCCAAGGCTCTTTCATTTCTTCTGTCCCTCTCCTTTGCCTGCCTTCAACACCAAGGAGAATGGTCCAGCAGCAGCTCAGTCCATGCTTGTCAACTGCCCACCTCCATACACTCCAGCCCCGGTCCATAGCCCCGGTCCACAGCCCCCAAGGCTCCTTGTGGGATTCCTCAGCAGCACCAATGCACTGTCACTCTATGTTCTCTCCGGTTTTGTTGAAGATCTAGACGAGTGTGTATTCTGTAATCAAGAGAAGGCGAGTCATCCGACATGGTAAGAGGCATTTCTTCGTCTGGAAGAGAAATTTTTTTTTTCTTTTCTGGGGCTTCTAGAATATCAGGTGAGTATCATTTCTGGCCGCCATCATGGATCAGGCCTCAGTTGGTCATGGACTCTAGCGACCGATCAACTGGAGGTTACAGCCAACTGAGGCTTGAATGACAATGTCAGTCAAAGGACGGCATCACTTACAAACTGTTTGGTAGGGAGTGTATTTCTGAGTAGCAACCTTTTCTCCTTAAAAAATAATTCTGTACTTGCCAGCCAACACGGACACTTGCTAAATATTCCAAAAAACCCACGGCATTTTCCACAAGCATTCTCTATGCTTTATTTGGGGTCCAGTGACTTGATCACTGTTTGACATCCGGTTTTTTATTTCACCAAGTGAATAAAAGGCCTTTGCCAACAGAACCCAGCATCATTTGATTCTCATGGTGTTTCTTTTTTTCTCTTATTGCAGGAAACATCTAGAGCCCAGTACCACCACTGTACGTATTCTTTTTTAAAAATCAGCTTTGTTTAGATGTAGTTGACATGTAGAACAATTCACCCATTTAAAGTAGGTGATTCAGCGTTTTTACTATATTCACAGGGTTGTGCAACCATTGTTACAATCTCATCTTAGAACCTCTTTATTCCCCCTCAGAGAAACCCCACTAGTAGTCACTCCTCTGTTTTTCCCAACTCCCACACCCCTGGATGTAGGCAGCCAGGAATCTACTTCCTGTTTCTATAGTACAGTGGCTTTCTGTATTAACCGGTTCTTAAAGTGACTATTTCACATTGATGAGGTTGCCCTAGCTAGAAAGCCAAGGCTCTTTCATTTCTTTCTGCCCCTCTCCTTTGCCTTCCTTCAACACCAAGGAGAATGGTCCAGCAGCAGCTCAGTCCATGTTAGTCAACGGCCCACCTCCATACACTCCAGCCCCGGTCCACAGCCCCCAAGGCTCCTTGTGGGATTCCTTGGCAGCACCAATGCACTGACTGTGGCTCGATTTTCTCCTAGGTCATGTTGAAGATTTGCAGGAGTCTGCACATGGCAGTGCGGAGGAGAATTATGACATCCAAATTTTAAGATGTATTTCTTTCTCTGGAAATTTTTTTGTTTATTTTTTTCCCTGTGGCTTCTAGAATATCAAGTGAATATCATTTTTGACTGCCATCATGGATCAGGCTTCAGTTGGTCATGAACTCTAGCGACTGGTCACTGGAGGTTATGACCAAAGGAGGCCTCATTGACGGTGTCAAAGGACGGCATCACTTACAAACTGTCTGGTAGTGAGTATGTTTCTCAGTAGCAACCTTTTCTCCTTGAAAAATAATTATGTATTTGCCAGCCAACATGGACACTCACTAAATATTCCAAGAAAACCCACTGCATTTGCCAGAAGCATCCTCTATGCTTTACTTGGGGGCCAGTGACTTGATCACTGTTTGACATCCGGTTTTTTATTTCACCAACCCCCACACTCCTTGCCCTAGGCAGCCACTCACCTACTTTCTGTTTATCTAGATTTGCCTACTCTGGCAATTTCTTTTTTTTTTTTTAATTTAATTTAATTTAGTTTCTACTTTAAGTTCAGAGATACATGGACAGGATGGGCAGGTTTAAAGATATTTTGCTTTCCCGATTTCTTCGCAATTATGATATGAAAATCTGACAATGCACATTATGTACAACATATACAATTCTCTTTGTGGGGGTGAAATTCAGTGGGAGTGTCTTCCCAACTGGGAAGTTTTTAAGTTTTCAAGCAGCAAGGATAACCTGAAGGCTCTTGGGAACCCTTTCCCATCAGATCCTACCTGGAAGTTTTCCCACTGGGAGGTTTTTAAAGGACAGCATCCATTATTGGCTGTAATGCGGAGGCATTTTCTTCAACACGTTTTCCTCCTTGGGTTAAGCATTGTGTGTTTGCCCATTAAATCAGCTTTAAGGTAAATTCTGTGAATAAACATCTTATTTTTCCATAGGCATCCTCACAGCGTTTGGGGATGTTGACCTATGGCTCAACCACCCTACCGCCTCTGGTTTTCTAACATTGTCAAGGGAATAACAGATCTGTGGGAAGTACACAGCAGAATCTGCTCCTCACAGCGTTTTCCTCTGTGTGACTGCAGCTAACATCGCATGGCAGCAAATGCAGTAAGCACCACGAAGTTACTTCACGAGGGACAAACGTGTTGCTTGAGTGTATAGAAACCTGATTCTGGGATCCTGCTGGGAAGGAGGATTGGGGGTCTCGCGAGAGAAAGTGATTTTGCTGGTATAGGACTCTGGCCAGAGAGGCTGTAGGAAGGTTTGTCAACGCACAGCAAAGACCAGAGGATCATGTGTGAGGCAGCATGGCTTCAGCTGCAGGAGGAGGAGTGGGTGAGTCACTCTTTCTAATCACTTGTACTGATGTTTTTGTTTCTAAAGACTTGTTTCTGGGGAGCCTTGGCAAAGAGGACGACCCTCCAGGTAGGGAATGATTCCAGGTAGCATCTGATGGGAAAGGGTTCCCAAGAGCCTTCAGGTTCTCCCTGCTGCTTGAGGGGCTAAAGGAGGGGATAGGAAATCAGAAACAAAATGAAAATATGTGTGAGGTCTGGTTTGTTCTTTTCAAAGTTTCTTGGCATAATGGTAAGAACTGTCTCTAGGGGCTAAAAGGGTGCTGTGTTCATAAGGGTACTTTGCAGTACGCCTGTTCTCCTCTGCCCAGTGAAACCAAACCTTTGGTTTGGATGAATCAGCACTCCTTGGGGTTATGCACAAGGGATGTAGGGCTGGGCATTGAGTGTCATCTGTAATGAAAGGACTCTGTGGGACACCGCTCTCTCACAGGCATTTACTTGAACTTAGGGGAAAACCTCTTCTGCTGTATGCCAAGGGGAAGCTGGTAATCGCCCTCTGAACTTTGAGGTCTTGTTATAGCACATTCATGCTTCTGTACTCACTGGGCGTTTAAAGGGATTTTCCATGGATGGATTGCAGAGTGAATATTCACTCCGGCCTCACTGGTAAAGCTCCAGTCCTCTGGGAAGGCAGGGGAGAAGTTTGACCTTGAGCACATTTCCAACCTCCACTTCCCATCCCTACCACAGATTCTGAGATGAGGCTTCTTTCTCTTCAGTTCTCTAATTTTTGGGGAAGCCAAGAGTTCCTTCCCACAGAAGATGGCATTACGCTAGTTCCCGTCTTCTAAAATTAGGCTTCATTTGTTTTCTAAGTTGGTATTTACAACTTAGGTTCTAGTCTTTTTATTCACAGATTGCTAAGACTTATGCAGGAAGCTCTACGTGATAAAATGTGCGGATAGCACAGAAGTGTGTCCATGCTACAGATGACATTGTTATCTTTGGAGGATCCTCATTTTACATAATGAGATATAAAACTAAGTGGGCACCCTCTATCCAATCTGGGGTACTTCATTAGACTCAGAACTCTTGAGTTTGATGCTGCCTATCATTTTGCTTTTCCTCGTGAGACCCCCCCCCGCCCCGACCACCTAGGCATCTCCAGCACCTTCTTTATTAGAGACCCTCAATCAATATCAGGGTCTAGAAGCAAACATCAGAGAGGGTGAGATGGAGCTCCCCTGTGAAATGAAGACAGCCCTGGTTCCTCCCAGAAATTTCTCTGCAACCTTCAAATCTACTTCTTCCTTAAGGTCACTACTCTGACTGCTAATGAATTGTTTAGACTTCTCCAGGTTTGGACTATTATACGTAGAATAAATCAATATGCATTTCTTCAAGCCTGGCTTTTTTGCTCACATTAATTTTGAAATTCATTCATGTTCTTAAGTGTAACTGTAGTTCTTTCATTTCCTTGTTGCATACTAGTCACATAGTCAATGCAGTCAATATGTAGTCACATATTACAACGTATCCACTCTATTGTGGATTGACATAAGAATTTTTTTCTCCTTCAGTTTCCAGGTGCTTCAGGAGGCACGGCTCCCGAAGGTGCAGACATGGCCAAGTCCAAGAACCACACCACGCACAACCAGTCATGAAAATGGCACAGGAATGCTGTCAAGAAACTCCTCTCCCTATTTAGACCCCTAGATCCTCTGGTGTGGTCTATGCTGGGGAGATCTGTGACCTGACTCCTCTGTTCTGAGGGATTCAGGGCTAGGTCTCCCAGTTCCAGTGCAGGACACTCTACGTACCCCACAGGATAGCCCAAGGCCATCCACACAGCCACTCTGTTTCTGCCCTCCTCTGAGGAGCTCCAAGACAACAAGGTCACACTGGTGTGTCTCATCAGTGACTTCTCCTCCGGTGCTGTGATGGTGGCCTGGAAGGCAGACGGCACCCCCATCCCCCAGGGCATGGAGACCATCAAGCCCTCCAAATAGAACAACAGGAAGTACATAGCCAGCAGCTACCTGAGTCTGATACCTGACCAATGGAGGTCCCACAGAATCTACAGCTGCCAGGTCACACATGAAGGGACCACTGTGGAGTTGACAGTGGTCCCTGCAGAATGCGCTCAGGCCCCCGACCCTCACCCCATCCACAGGGACCTGGGAGCTGCAGGATCCCAGGGCAGGGGTCTCCTCTCTCATTCCAAGGCATCCAGCCCCTCTCCCTGCATCCAAGTAACCCTCAATAAATATTGTCAATTAGAAATCCTGTTCCATCTCATTATTTTTTATCTCATGTTCAATTTGCAACCTCCAGGAGAGGCTCTCATCTATCTGAGACATCATCCAAAGAGGCTCTTCCTCACCTGGTCACTCCTTCCCTCCATACTCCACTGTAGCCTGGAACCCCGCACGGCATCTTGCTCAGGCCAGGCAGATCTTATGCCCTCCCTGATTCTGATGACAATGACCCACTGTTCCTCTTCTGATGGCCCCAGGATCCTCCTGAGAGAACCCGGTAGGCCTGGACTTTCTGCTCTCTGTTCACAATCTGTCCTGGGCACATCTTTCTCCTGCTTCATATCTAAAGTTGCCCATTAACCCAGAGTGTACTGGTTCCTTAAAGTGGAAAGCGGGATTTAGAGGTCACACTTGGGCTGCTACTGACACAGCCCTTTTGGGTCAGACACTCAGAATGGACACGAGACCCTGCGAGGGTGACAGGGTCTTGCTTCCAACTTCTCCCTGGAGGTTGAGGCTGGAATTTCTTACTAGCACCTGGCGAGACCCATCCCAAACTAAGACACCAGAGAGGATGGAAGGGAGACCCCTGGCATTGTGGCTGTGTGGTCAGATTGGACCTTCCCATGGCTGCTGAGACTCTGGGACAAGCTGTCCCTTCTCTGGGGCACTGGGGACACCTGAGGATGCCTCCCTGCTCTTACTTTATGGTCACACCAAGAGATCAGGGTTACAACAACCCTATAATGTAGAGAATCCCTGTCCCTTTCCATGTCACTTCCCTCCTTAGGGAAGCAAATGCCCTCCCAGGAGCCCATTCCCATTCCTGGGCCACAGTCAAAGGGAAAACCTGATCCAGATACGAACTTCCTTGGGCCTCCGCATTTCCAGATGTCCCGTCATTGCGTGTGTGGGGCTGACTGTCTCATCTCAGCTTGAGAAGGGCAGGCAGGGGTATGGACACCTTGCCGAGCAAATGCCCGTCGGAGTCAGTGGTTCAACTTTCCTGCATCACAGCTGCTGCTGGGGGCTGGGGAGGGGGGCATAGGCGGTCCTAGGGAGTAGTTTTTACATGAGCCTGTGTCACAGTGTTTGATGTTCAGCAGACGGACCAAGCTGACTGTCCTAGGCGAGTCCCTTCTTCCCCTTCCTTCCCTGCTCTTGTCAAGGTTTTTGTTTTTTTTTTTTTTTTTTTTGCTGGTTTTCATCTTTTTCTGCGACTTCTCACAGTCTGTGGCCTGGGTTTCCTTGTGGACCTTGGTTCTGAGAGGCTGACCTCTCCTCTCCCTATTTAGACCTCCGTATGCCTCAGCTGGTCACTGTGACCCCTTCACCTCTGACCCCAGAGGCAGGGCATTCAAATGGTGACCTCTTGAGACTCTTCTGTCTGTCTGCCGGGTGCATGTGGGTCCCCCAGACTCGCTCTGTTCTGTGTGCCTCTGTCTGGGCTCTTGACAGACCAGATTTGCCTGTGGGGTGAATTGGGGCCTCATGTCATGGAAAAGAAAGTGATATTAAATCCAGTAACAGGTTAAAAAAAAATCCACTACCAGGTAAAAAAAATTGGTTCTTAACATCATTAATCATCTCAAAACTGCAAATAAAAATTACAATCAGACACCACATACTGTAATTAGAATATAACCAAAAAAGAAACTACCATTTCATCTAGAAATTCCAATAGTGAGTATATGCTTAATGAAAATGAAATCAGTATATTGAAGAAACTACCATTTTATCTAGAAATGTCAATAGTGAGTACACGCTTCATGAACATGAAATCAGTATACTGAAGCAATAGTTGCCTTCCCAGGTTTAGGGAAGCACTACTCCCAATAGCCAAGGTATGAAATCAACCTAACCTGTCCATCAACTGACAGAGCAATGAAGGAACTTCGGCACACAGACACAATGAAAGATGCCTCATCTTTAAAAATTCGTGGCTTGATGTCATTTACAGCAACCCGGGATGATCCTGGAAGTCATAAACTGAGTCAGCTAGGCAGAGAAAGACAAACACCGTATCATCGGAACCATGTGGAAGCTAAAACAAAGTATCTAATGGAAGGTGAAGGTACAATAGTGGTTAGCAGAGGCAGCAGGGAGGAGAGGGAAGGGGTAGTCATTGGTAATGGGTGCAGAGCTGCGGTTCCAAGGAAGGGATGAATTCTGTTGAGGCACTCCACAGCAGGGTGACTGGTGGTACCAATATGGCAGCCTCTTTTTCAGTAGAGCTAGAAAGAAGGACAATGAAGGTTCACAACACATAGAAATAAAAACTAGATATGGGAACAGATGTGAGGAACACCCTGATTTCATCATTCCTCAGTGTATACAAATAGGAAAAAATCCCACTGCGCCCCCTAATTTTGGACATGTATTACAAAACAAATTTTTTTTTTTTTTTTTTTGAGATGGAGTCTCGCTCTGTCACCCGGGCTGGAGTGCAGTGGCGTGATCTCCACTCACTGCAAGCTCCGCCTCCCGGGTTCACGCCATTCTCCTGCCTCAGTCTCCAGAGTAGCTGGGACTACAGGCGCCCCGCCACCTCGCCCGGCTAGTTTTTGTATTTTTAGTAGAGACAGGGTTTCACCGTGTTAGCCAGGATGGTCTCGATCTCCTGACCTCGTGATCCGCCCGTCTCGGCCTCCCAAAGTGCTGGGATTACGTGAGCCACCGCGCCCGGCCTGCACAAAACAAATTGTAAAACTATAAATAAGCAATATTTTAGAAAGAAAAAAGAAGAGAAAAAGAACAAAGAGCAACACACCACACCACCACAACAGAACAAACCCAAATCATGTAAATGGAAGGGAACACAAACGAAAATGGAAAGTAATGAAAGAGCTCTTCCTGCTGAGCCCTCCGTGAGGTACGGTGGCAGGGGAATGGCCAAGGGGCACGAAGCTGGATGATATGTCAAGCTGGCTGCCCCAGACATGTCTCCCTGTGACCCCAGATTCCTCTCCTGGGAATGCTAATCTGAGGTCTCCTGAGAAGAAGGCTTCCTTCCCACCACTGTTGGGATATGGCCCAAGCCTTCAGCGCAGCACCAGGTGTGGACAGGGATTAAGAGCACAAATTGGCTCCCCTGACTTGAGTCTCCAGAAGCCTCAGGCGCCTTCCCAGGGGCCTCAAACTTGTAGGGTTCACATGAAGCTCCCTGCCTCGGTCTTCCCAGCCCACATCAACCCTCACCTGCTGACATCTCCTCTTAAGGGAGCCTCCCCGCCACTCATCTCGTGGAACTCGGCTCTGGAGATTACAGCAGCCCACAGTGGCCCCAGGGCTGTCTCTGTGGGACTGTTAAATGCCACTTACCCCTGAGCTGAGATAGCAGGAGAGCAGAAGCTTGGACAGGGCCTTCCCAGCAACGGATGATCTGGTCCCCACAGCTCATCTAGAGGGGGACGCCCTTGCCAGTGTGGGTACTGGGGCTGCTCTGTCCAGCTCCCCTGCCCACATTGCTTGCACATGGAGCCTGGAGTCCCCAGCTGAGCACACAAGCAGATGCAGGGTACTCTTCCCAGCCTGTGCAGCGGGCACCAGGGCTCTGGGCAGTACTGTCCAGTCTGACTCTGTCACTCAGCCCAGGTGAGGCAGGGGCAGAGGGAAACCCCCAGATTCTTCGGATCCTGCCTGCTTGGCCTTTGGAGCAAGGTAGGGTTGGGACCTGGGGGCCTCAGCCTCCAAGCGCTGACCACAGACCAACACCTCCCTACCCTAAGAGCGTCTTCTCTCTTAGCACCAGAGTCACTCCTTCCCGAATGGCATCGGTGGGGGCCCCTTCTTGGTGCAGAGCTCGCTCAGGCCCATCTCCCGCAGCCTCTCTCAGGGTTGCCAGATGTAGTCCCCATCCTGGCCCTTGAGAGGGCCCACTGGGCAGTTGGGTGCAGACTGGAGTCCAAGGAATGAAATTAGAGGAAATGCTCAGTGGTCCTGGCTACAGAAAATACTAAAAGTCTCCATAACTCTGGAGAAAAGGGACATTTCAATGAAGAGGTTATGGTCAGCCTGAGCAAAGAATTATACCTATAAATGGTGGTGGGCCCCTATGATGTCCCCGACACTGGTAGCTTCTGCCCTGACACAATCTCTACTCCTCCACCTACCAATACCTGACTGTCTCTCTGCTGAAATACGGAGGACACATTCACCCTGGCCAAGTCATGTTTGGAACCGTCTTCCTCCTTCCTTGTCCATGTCTATTCCCTAATTCACCATTAAACAGCAATCAATCCCCGCAAGTCTTACTGTAATCTACAAAACCTATATTAGTGATCATATCAGTCTTTCGACTTGAAGGATAATATGTTTTATAGAAATTTTTTTCAGAATGCTCTGGACAATTAATTTTCTCTAGGCCATATCACACTGCCTTCTCCATGAGAACTGGTGGCTTCACCTGTCAACCACATACCCAATGCCTTACATTATTGACCTTTGTATTTGCTGCCCTTATTCTCTGCAATCAGTCGGTTATGACAAACAACTTTCAAATACCTTTCTCCTGGCTCCAAAATTTACCATTGCTTTGCTTAAGGTCTCACCTCCCATGTAGAATGGAAAACATTCTTTCATCTAAGGCCCCCTCCTCCTCCTGGCCTTGGAGCCTCCTAATGTCCAGGATCGGCACCTCTGTCATCACACCGTCAGTTGCAGAGATATTCTATCTGCTGTCAGAACTGGGCACAGTTAATTTGTTTACAAACATGGAAAATAACAAAAGCCTGGAATCATGCTCTATATACTGAATTGGAGTAATAACATGTGGAAGCAGAAACATATTTAATATTGACCACTTGCGTTGTCTTAATTATTATTTATTTGTTCCTGCATCAAGGTGGTAGAAAGGGGGTCATGGTGTCTGCCTTCAGAGACCCTCCACTCTAAATGAAGAAAAGTTCAATGAAGCAAACACGTGACATATAGTAAAATAAGAATTGCTACTGTGAATAAGAGTCACATATTGCCACAAAGCATACCTATGAGAATATGAAATAGGGAATATTTCTCATAAAAAGTTTTGATTTCGGAGGAAGAAACAGAATTAAACTAAAGTCAAGAGATATTTGGGCCTTGGAAATAGAGGAGAGACATGGGGTTGGCTTCTGTCCATTTGCTGAGCAACTTGTTTTCCTTTTCACAGTGGATATGACCTTGGATGCCAACACAGCCAACAACTTCCTCCTCATTTCCGACGACCTCAGGAGCGTCCGAAGTGGGTGCATCAGACAGAATCGGCAAGACCTTGCCGAGAGATTTGACTTGTCCATTTGTGTCCTGGGTTCCCCTTGCTTTACCTGTGACTGCCACTACTGGGAGGTGGACGTGGGAACAAGCACAGAATGGGACCTGGGAGTCTGCAGAGAATCTGTTCACCGCAAAGGAAGGATCCAGCTGACCACAGAGCGTGGATTCTGGACTGTGAGTTTGAGGGCTGGAGGCCGCCTCTCTGCCAGAACGGTGCCGCTGACTTTCCTCTTCGTAGACCGCAAGTTACAGCGAGTGGGGATTTTTCTGGATATGGGCATGCAGAACGTTTCCTTTTTTGATGCTGAAGGTGGTTCCCATGTCTATATATTCAGGAGAGTCTCTCCTGAGGAGCCACTGCGCCCGTTTCTGGCTCCTTCAATTCCACCTAATGGTGATCAGGGTGTCCTGAGTAGCTGTCCTGTGATGAACTCAGGCACTACTGATACTCCGGTCCATCCTGGGGAGGCCAGATAGGCCCCCACTGCAAAGAAAACAGGGTCAGAAAATTACTTGGGTGGGTAGACTTAGGAACTTTCTACTTGGTAAAAGCATTATACAAAGTCATAGGAGAAAAATATGGGACATTTCTATAATCTGTATTTAATCTAATTTGGTTAGATTATTGAATTCTAAGTATTATTGCCACAAATATTGATACTAAAGTATCAATATTTACCCATTAATTTTAGCAAATGTAACACAGTAATGTAAGATGGGAATACTAGGTGGAATTATAAGGTAGGGTGAGAGAATGGAATGATATGGGAACTTTGTGTATTACATGCTCGATTTTTATGTCAATCTAAAACTCTCTTGGTTAAAGAAACACAAAATTATAGCTCCACTGTTTCAGGGAGATCTCTTCACAATAATGTTCAACAATTGAGTAATGTCTAGACATTAGCTTGAAAGATTGTCTTACTATTAAATGTGAACCAAAATTGACTTTTAAATGTATATTTAATTCTGTGATTTCAGCAATACTTCTTGACTAGGCAAATAAAAATTTTGGCACATTTGAACATATGGCTTAACCTCCTCTGTAGCTTCTTCTAACATATGGGACACTGAATATAACCCACAATTGTTATTCTTAAATCAACTTAATAAATTCCCATGGTACCTTCATGTAGGTGCACCCGGTGGTTTGCCCAGAGTCCAGGTTGCGTCATGTGCCTCTTGGTGTAGACGCTGTATCTTCTTACAATCTCTGTCAGAGAAGATCTTGGTTAATCTTTCTGCAACGCAGAGAGCCACTGATATGTTACTGACAGAAAGACCAGAGGGAGAATTGCGATCATTGGTTCTGAGTTCTAACTTCTGATCCTATTGTTTACTGGCTTCCAAACAGGGTCATGTGAATCAAAGTTGGGTCTCAGGAAGATCATGGAGTTCAGTGAGCACTTTATACGTGGATTAGAAAGACTGCGTGGGCGATGCCTTCACATAGATGAGGCGATACAGAAAGGCAGAGGGTTGATGTAGTGGGGGCCTGAACCCCAGTCCCACTAGAGACACGTGGACCTGGGAAGGTCATGCAATCCCTCGGTCCTCAGATCTCTGCACTGTCATGTTGAAACGTTCATAGGGCCTACTTATTAATATCACAGTATGGGGCTAGAAAAATCACTACATGTAGGAGAATATTAAGAAAGAGAATCAGAACTTCAGTAGTGATATGTAAGGGTTTACTAAATGCCGGAAGGAATAAGCTGGACACTTAGTAGTGGCTGAACATGGAGAGGCTGTTTGGGTGGCTCCAGGCCAGTGGAGGATGGGTCCCTGTTCATCTTTTACGTGGGTGTGATGCCTTACAACTTCTGGAGGACATCTGCTATTATCTCCGGGAATCCCCACAACAGCCCAGCAGGGTGGGCAGAGGAGGGGCCGCCGCTCAGATTTTCCAGTGGGGGGCACTGAGTATCACTTAGAGATGGGGAGTGATTTGCAGAATCCGATTCCAATGAGTGAAGGATCTGGGGGGGAAATGAATTTGGTTCCCCAGAGACAGAGATTCCTGAACAACTGAGACCTCTGTATCATGCCCTGGACCACTGATCAGAGGGACCCCTTCACTCTCTTTCTCCAATCCTTTTATTCCAAGGTATGTGGAAAGACAGAGTTTGCGCTTGGGAAGAGTTGCCTGAGATGAAGACAGGTCCCTAATTATAAAGCATTGTTTTCCTCTGCCTTTCAAATCTTCCACCCCAAATATCACACAGTTGTTTTTAAAGGATGTCATCTGTGGGACCTTTGGAAGCACAAATGCGTGGCCTTCCTCCCCCACTCCCTTCACCCTGTCAGCTGTCTCTCAGTAACTGTTTCCTCCGGTGACCACAGTGAGGGGCCAGTGTCTGCCTGTCTCCAAGACTGCTCAGGCCTTATGCAAAACATCTATCACAAGCTGCTTCTGCAAGTAACTTCTCTCCTACTTATCAAACCTCAATAAGTATCTGATGCGAATTAACTGAAAAAGTGGCCATCTGGGCTGGTGCTTTGGTGGTTTAATGAATTTAGTCTGCCTCTCCCACTTTCTCCTTGACTGCTGATCTGAGCCACCTGGAACAAGATGTGGCTAAGATGTGGCTAAGAATGGGCAGCACGTGCACCAGCATGGAGTGTGCCCCTTATCAGCTCATTCTTTCCTCATCAAAGATCACTTTCTATTTTACAAACTCCACATTCATTCCTTGACCTTGCTGTGGCAGGGGACAGTCCTATCTCCTCTCAGAAAGACCCCTCTGGCAGGGTGCAGTGGCTCACGCCTGTAATCCCAGCACTTTGGGAGGCCGAGGTGGGCGGATCACGAGGTCAGGAAATCGAGACCATCCTGGTTAACATGGTGAAACCCTGTCTGTACTAAAAATACAAAAAATTAGCTGGGCGTGGTGGCAGGCGCCTGTAGTCCCAGCACTTTGGGAGGCCGAGGTGGGCGAATCACGAGGTCAGGAGATCAAGACCATCCTGGTTAATATGGTGAAACCGTGTCTGTACTAAAAATACAAAAAATCAACCAGGCGTGGTGGCGGACGCCTGTAGTCCCAGCTACTGGGGAGGCTGAGGCAGGAGAATGGCGTGAACCTGGGGAGTGGAGCTTGCAGTGAGCCGAGATCGCACCACTGCACTCCAGCCTGGGAGACAGAGCAAGACTCTGTCTCAAAAAAAAAAAAAAAAAAAAAAAAGGCACCTCCAGAGCCACAGCCTGGAAACTCTGCCCCAGGACTCTCATTCAGGTTCACTCTGATCCCCCTTTCCCTCTGTCTCCAGATGTCCCTTCCATTAACCCAGTGGCTCTGCCTCTTCTCCCAATCCTTCACTAGTGAAAATCCCATTTATTCTCTCTCGTGAGCCCTATGAAAGTCCTCTCATAAAATACCACTGTTCATCCTACTGTTTTTTTAAGTCCAACTCTAGATCACTAACATTTGTTTTCAGATTTTGGGTTCTACATTCAGAGAAATGTTTCTGTCCTTCCCCTTTGCCAGTCAAGTCTATTATTGCAGGAGTGGAATCAAGATTCTCCTAAAATGATAAACCACTATGGCTGTGTTTGCTCTGTGTACTCTCTGGAAGTGTGTGCCCAGGACTGCCAGTCTTTATTTTATTATTTGGTAGAAATAAAAGTAAGTCACACGGTCCTGATATTTACATTTTGAGTTAAAAAAAAATTTTAAATTGTTTTCATCAAAACTCACTTTAGATATTAATATGTTCATCTTGGTATTTTCTTCTAAATGCTGTAAACCTGTGTTTCCCGTTATTTATTTCTCTTAGTGATCTGTATCCTTCTGTGAACCCCTGCTTGCTCTCAGAGGGATCCTACATACAGAAATGGAGATTTACATTCCAGTTTGGAGAGATCTCATTTTCCGTTCTCAGAGCCTCCTATGTGCCTTAGAGACCACCGTGTCCCTGCTTTAACCCTATGTAATAGAAACAAATAAGATCTTTATTCTCAGAAAGGTCAATAGTCTTCAGAGGAACCCCATATTCTTACACAACTCTGTCATCCAGGTCTCAGGCAAAGCCCTCATAACTTGGCAGAATTTAAGGTGTCACAACTTTACAGGCTTCTGTTTGTTATCACAAAGATGTGCCCACTTTTAGTAGAGATTTTAGCAGCAGTGGCCTAGTTATTAACAAAAAATAGAAAGTACTAGAAGAAAGCACATAAAGAACACACTGTGTAAAATTTGACCTAAAAATGACCAATCTTACAGGGACACACAGAGCAGAACAACACACACGGGGCCTATCAGATGGGGGAGGGTGGGAGGAGGGAGGATCAGGAAGAATAACTAATGGGTACTAGGCTTAATACCCAGGTGACAAAATAATCTGTACAACAAACTCCCGTGACACAAGTTGGCCTATGTAACAAACCTGCACATGTACCCCTGAACTTAACAGTTAAAAAAAAACTGGTGGGACAAAATGAGACACCAATTCACACATCAGAATGGCCATTATTAAAAAGTCAAAAAATAGCAGATACTGGCAAAGTTGCAGAGAAAAGGGAGCACTTACACACTGTTAGAGACAGTGTAAATTGGTTCAGCCATTGTGGAAAGGAGTATGGTGATTCCTCAAAGAGCTAAAAACAGAAATATCATTCAATCCAGCAATCCCATTACTGGGTATATACCCAAAGAAATGTAAATCATTCTACCCCAAAGACATCCACACATATGTTCACAGCAGTACTATTCACAATAGCAAAGACCCACATGCCCACCAATGACATATTGGATAAAGAAAATGTGGTACATATACACCATGGAATACTATGCAGCCATAAAAGAGAATGAGATCATGTCCTTTGCAGGAACATGGATGGAACTGGAGGCCATCATACTTAGTAAACTAATAAAGGTACAGAAAACCAAATACTGCATGTTCTCACTTATAAGCAGGAGCTAAGTGATGAGGACACGTGGACACAAAGAGAGGAACAACAGATTTGGGTCTACTTGAGAGTGGAGTGTGGGTGGGAGGAGAGGATCAGAAAAACAGATCCATTGTATACTAGGCCTAGTACCTGGATGATGAAATAATCTGAACCCAAACTCCTGTGACACAAGTTGACCTATATAACAAACCTGCACATGAACCCTTGGACTTAAAATAAAAGTTAAAAAATAAATGACCCATCTCATTCACTAACCTCACCACAGTCTTATGGATTCAATTAGCCTGTTCAATTCTTTGTTGTGTTTACTCCATCAACTTCCCATGTAACTGTACTTCACAAGGCATATAACAGAACCACTGAACAGAGGAGGCAAATCAGGTCTTTTATCCTCCCCTTCAATTGTCTTACAAAACTCATGGCTGAGTTTAGAGCATAAGTCATAACTTTAGTCATAAGTCTTATGACTTCCCAAATGAATGCTTTAACTGCAGCTACAGCACATACATCATTTGTTGAGTAGCACTTCTCATGTGCTTTTAAGCAACTCTTTATTGAGAGACAAGATTCAATATTAGGGAAATATTGGTATTACATCATTAATTTCATGTTACAGAGACAATAGATTATTGAAAATGTATGAATAATGAAGTCCAGTCTCACCTTCATTGAGTGTGCAGACCCCTTAAGCTTGCACCCACCTGTGTGTTGGACACACATTCACAAAGACATCACAGACCTACACACAGACACCTTCTACCTTGGTGCACACAAATCCACACCACCTAAAGTGAATACGCCTGTTTCCAGGGATTGCACGTAGGTGACAAGAGTTTGTCACCTGCAAAACCAGTTTTAGTCCACCTCAAATTCTCATTCTTTCCAGGTGTCTTGGATCACAGAGATTCTCTAGACGAAAGTCAGCAATTAACTTCCACATTTCTTATACATACACTTTTTTTTTTTTTTTTTACACCCAGTGAATGATTTCAGAATACACACCATTAATTGTGTTCTTTGGAGTCACCTGCAATTAGAAGAAAGAAAACACTCTGAGGATGAGATCATACTGTGGGCTGTTCGTACAGGTCTTTTGTCCTCTTAGGGGCTCTCGGTAACCAAGATGGGAAAGAATGTTTAAGTCTAAAGTCCCAAAATCTAGAGTAGAGTTCATATGTAGAAAGCACAACAGCTTCTGTTGAAAAATATCTTTGTCAAGACAATTTTGGGGTGGCAGTTACAAAATTCTTTTTTTTTTTTTTTTTTTTTTTTTTTTTTTGAGACGGAGTCTGGCTCTGTCGTCCAGGCTGCAGTGCAGTGACTGGATCTCAGCTCACTGCAAGCTCCACCTCCTGGGTTCATGCCATTCTCCTGCTTCAGCCTCCCCAGTAGCTGGGACTACAGGCGCCCACCACCTCGCCCGGCTAGTTTTTTGTATTTTTTAGTAGAGACGGAGTTTCACTGTGTTAGCCAGGATGGTCTCGATCTCCTGACGTTGTGATCTGCCCATCTCGGCCTCCCAAAGTGCTGGGATTACAGGCTTGAGCCACCGCGCCCGGCCACAAAATTCTTAAAGTGGAAAACTTGTTGCAGAAGAAAGTGTCCCCTGGCCGGGCACGGTGGCTCACGCCTGTAATCCCAGCACTTTGGGAGGCCGAGGCGGGTGGATCACGAGGTCAGGAGTTTGAGACCAGCCTGACCAACATGGTGAAACCCTGTCTCTACTAAAAATACAAAAATTAACTGGGCATGGTGGTGCACACCTGTAATCCCAGCTACTCAGGAGGCTGAGGCAGGAGAACTACTTGAACCCAGGAGGTGGAGGTTGCAGTGAGCCAAAATTACGCCATTGCACTCCAGCCTGGCCAATAGAGCGAGACTCCGTCTCAAAAAAAAAAAAAAAAAAAAGGAAAGTGTCCCCTAACATGCCATGTGTGACCCGGCCCTGCCAGTTCAGGATTTCCTCTTGAATCAGGTGTCAGTGGGTGAGGTGCACCCCCTCCATCCCCAAGGAAACATTATCTAACACCTACAATGCACCTGATTATTTTTCCCTATCTGATATCAATTGAAAAATGAAATAACCAAGAAAATAACACATATTTTAGGCAAAGACAGGCTACTTTACCTTGGTAATAGAGAAGGGGTCCTCACTTGCCCAGTCTTTGGAATCCGCCTTCTGTTGATCTTCTGGGGAACCTGAAAGGATGCAGCATGACTGTCAGTTCATTGGTGGTGACATGAACCAAGGGCTAGAACTTATGGATGTGGTTGGTTAACCAGCATGAATTGAGTTTCTCCTGGGCCATCCTCTTCCATGGACCAGGGAAGGCAGAGAGATGGGCAGAAAGGAAATGAGAAATAGAACCTTCGTCTTTCCAGGTAATAGCAAATGAAAGCAACACGAAATAAGCAAACTACAAATGAGCAAATACTAAAATACATGCTAGCATTCAACCACAGAGTCCTGTCACTCCCTCAGCCCATTTTAAAGTCCAGCAGAACTGCCACTGACTCCTTGCCATTGACCACCTCCCTTTCAGCCTCCACAGACCCCCATCCGCTGCTGTAACATTTAACATCTGGGGTATAGGGTTCAGCCCCTGTTTATGTGTAAACTTTTATTGAGGAACTAAATTCAATATCAGGTACCAGGGTTAAATTATATGTATTCAATTCTTTGTTATAAATCAATTATTAAAAACTAGAAAATACTGAAATACATGTTAAAATGTCCACTGTAAATCGTACATTTTCCTTCTAGTCTTCCCTTCCTATCCCTTGTGTTTGCAATCATTGCGTGAGGGGGCCTAGTTTCAGCCAGGTCTAGATCACCTAGCAAGGTGAGGTCTAATTTCAGCCCAAGCTACCCACAGTGAGGGAAGGCAGGGTGAGGAGATGACCCCATATGAGCACCGAGGCTCTTTAACCTAGCCGTACAAGACAGTTGCCACAAGGGTGACACCTGAGGCTAATTGTGAAGCGGCATCTTGTGTTCTGTGATTCTTGCGCCTTAGCCCCCTGAGTAGCTGGAATTACAGGTGTGCACCACCACACCCAGCTAATTTTGCATTTTTAGTAGAGACGGGATTTCTTCATGTTGGTCAGGCTGGTCTCAAACCCCTGACCTCAGATGATCCACCTGCCTCGGCCTCCCAAAGTGCCGGGATTACAGGCATGAGCCACCGCACCCGGCCACCTTATTTATTCTTAACAAATGTTAAGTGCCTCTAACTTTCTATTGTTTCTGAGTCATGGAAGCAACAACCTCCTTGAAAAGAACTGAGAATGATAAGTCAGGAGAACTAAGTCACACAATCCATCAAAAACAGTATTAACAGTTTTTCAAAGCTACACTCTATATGCAAACGTCTACAATTATCATCTTATTATTTTTAAAGGTATCTTTACGTATATGTATATGACCTATGTGTTTCCTGGTGTGAGTAAATCTGTATGTTCTTGGTTAGTAGTGTTTACCGATTCATTTCACTTCTCTATCTTTGTTGAAATATGAACTACTCTTTGGATGAGAAAAAATGATTATACTTGATTATATTTACTTTTGGAAAGGTAAGTAGGTTGGGTGATTGACTGTAATTGTTATCTCTATGATCTTGGATAAAACCCAACCATAAAAATAAAAGTGTGTTTTGTTTCACACACCAACACATAGACAACACACATTCTTACTTCTTTTCAAAAAGTGAATATGTGAATATAAATGACATATTCCAAATTTACTAAACTGAATACACATTTCATGAAAAAGGAGGAAGGACATATTAAAAACAGGCCAGGGCCCAGTGTGGTGGCTCACGCCTGTAATACCACCACTTTGGGAGGCTGAGGCAGGTGGATTACCTGAGGTCAGGAGTTCAAGACCAGCCCGGCCAACATGGTGAAACCTCGTCTCTACAAAAATACAAAAATTAGCCGGGCATGATGGCGAGCGCCTGAAATCCCAGCTATTCGCAGGAGGCTGAGGCGAGAGAATTGTTTGACCCCAGGAGGCGGAGGTTGTAGTGAGCCGAGATCACACCATTGCACTCTAGCCTGCGCGACAGGGCGAGACTCCACCTCTAAAACAAACAAACAAACAAACAACAACAAAAGACAAAGATAGATACGCTTTGTTGTGTTAAAAGCCTCAAAGACATCTGCATCATTCTAGCTGTGCTTCTAGTTTTTAAAATTAATGATTTTAATAGGTTCTTAATTAGGTAAAAACTGCATTAAAACATACTTTGCCATATTTTTCCCAGAAGGATACCTAATTGGGCGGTTTGAGGGGCGCCAGATATAACAGGAAATAAGACATGTCTTTTAAATAAAGGAAAAGTTCAAAGGCATCCTGCTTGATACTAGACTCAAATATATAAATTGAGGAATAAAATATAACCAGAAAACACATGTATAACTGCGTATGAAAAATGCAGAGGAGAATTTTTTAATGAAATGTATTTTTAAATATTAACTAGTACATTGGAGAGGACAGCATTCACCAGGCCAATGTCAACATACCTTTAATGCAGGAACTCAGGTTCCCCATAAGAAAGACCAGAATCTGTGAAAATGACAGCAAGCATGTTCAACCTGCTATGAGCTTTGAAAAACTCAGCACCGACAGTGGCAGTTAGGACCGAGGGCAAGACATACCCAATCACATAACCATGGCGACGGGAGCATCATCAACGTCTCAGGGTAAAGTCACAATGCATATTGTGAGGTCCACTTTCTGCTTCACCAACAAGAGTGCTTTCACACGCACAGGAGTGTCATTAAAGATTAGGCGTTTTACTTCAAAAAAAAAACAAAAAAAACACCCAAGCTCATTAATTATTATTCTGTGCTTATTAAAATAAGTTTTAGGAGGAGAAATTGTGTACCCCAAAATATACTCAATGGCAAGAATTTCAAACTGAGCAGGGGCAAAACCAATATGTTAGTAACAACCAGAAGTTCCATTCTCAATTTGAAATTCCATTGCCAGATATTTCTACCATTCCTGAGTCATCTAGTATTTCTAGAACCAATAAGCAAACTGTTCAGAATTAAAGACAGCATAAATGGATATTCAGTTATAAAAGTCATATTTCTGTAAAAAGTGACATTTTTTAAAGTCACATTTTTGGAAAGTTGTAGTTCCCTAAAAAGTCATATTTCTACCATTCCTGAGTGATCTACTGTTTCTAGAACCAATAAACTGTTCAGAATTAGATAAAAGATAGTGTTAGTTGATATTGTTATAAAAATCGTATTTCTCTACAATATAATTATCAAACTTAATTTTTCCACTTATCTCTATATATTACTATGCAATTATTTATCTCCCAAACTTTGTGAATTCACAGAGGAATTTGTCTACCGTTGTATATGGAAATGGCTGGCCATTCACTGAGTATTTAAAGCAAAAAAATTACTATATTTTCACCAGTGCATCTTCTCGGGGGGTGAACACTTTGGGTGAATACATATAATTTTTAAATTTGAGACAGGGTCTCTGTCACTCAGGCTGGAGTGCAGTGGTGTGATCACAGCTCACTGCAGCCTTGACCTTCCAGGCTCAGGTGATCCTCCCATCCCAGCTTACTGTGTAGCTGGGACTACAGGTTCTTACCACCACGCTCAGCTAATATTTCATAGAGACAGGGTTTTTCCATGGTGCCCAGGCTGGTCTTCAACTCTTGAACTCAAGCAGTCCACCCACCTTGACCTCCCAAAGTGCTGGGATTAGAGGCGTGAGTCACCACGCCCTGCCTAACACATATAATTAAAGTGTTTCTGAATGCAGAATTTTAGATAACTTTCAAAATGTATAACTACATGTGTATTCCAGCTGATAAATCAACACCCAATCACAAATCCTTTTATGATACGCTCAAGAGAACAAGCTGTTGAAAGGAACATGACCTGCCCTAACATAAATAGAACAAATGAAAATTTTAGGGTTAAGATGAGAGAGTTGCTATGTTTCAAAGAGAATAGGTACCCTTCATGATATAAATATTATAGTACAAATGTCTATCATTGTTAAGTACAAATTTCTAGAACAAATAAATAGGTCACGAATGACGTATACCATCTGCATTAATATAGATGATGCTATATTTTGTCCAGCGATTATAAAACAGAGGGTATAATGGGGGTAGGTGCTGAAAGGATAGGTCATTCTGTGTTGTTATAAACAGAAAATTTCAGTGGCTTCCAGATTGAACAAATATATGTATATACACAAATTATATATGTATATATATACACACACACACACACATTGATACTATAGTTATATGTGTATTTGTATACTCAGAAATGCAGCAAAACTAAAAAAAAAAAAAGCAACAAACAGATTCACATTTCTGAATGCCCAATTGGAGGAGAAAATTTAAAAAGAAGTAGGAAATACAGTGAGAAAATGTACTCATTCTATTAGAGGAACTGATATCTTAAGTTTAGAGAGGCAGGCTAAAATACTTAAATGTTTAGGATATGAAATTTAATTGTACAAGTATTTTTTTCCTTGAATTTCCCAGACCAAAAACACATCATTTGATTAGGGTGCATTTTTACAGTACTTAACAATCAAGATTTTGAAATAAAACATTGATGATGAAGAATTTTGATAAATCCTGACATTGTCCTAGTTGAAAGAGGTTAATATGTTTTTATATGTGCTAAGAATTGTCTAATTTAAGAACACAATGATGTTATGACTCTGTTGATAAATTTCAAACAATAATTTTTGAAATTATATATAAAAGAATGTTTTTATTTGGCTTTTATTCCAGTTGATTTCAACAATGCTGAGTGAAATACATATATCAGAACAAAATCATGAGGATGTCACAAATGTTAACTATCTAATAGGTACTGTAGGTTAGACGTTTTGGTTTTTTACTTTGAGACGGAGTCTCGCTCTGTCACCCAGGCTGGAGTGCAGTGGCGCGATCTCAGCTCACTGCAATCTCTGTCTCCCGGATTCACGCCATTCTCCTGCCTCAGCCTCCCGAGTAGCTGGGACTACAGGCACCTGCCACTACGCCCGGCTAATTTTTTGTATTTTTAGTAGAGACAGAGTTTCACCGTGTCAGCCAGGATGGTCTCAATCTCCTGACTTCGTGATCTGCCTGCCTCGGCCTCCCAAAGTGCTGGGATTATAGACGTGAGCCACCACGCCCAGCCCATTTAGCTAATATTTTAATGGTAGGATTACATATTATAGCTTTTCATTTTTCTCCATTATGAGAATTTCTTTATTTTTGGAGGAAATGATTTTTATCTAATTTTTTATCTACTTATAATAATCCTAGAATTTTTATAAACACTCTTGTTGCATAACAAAACAGTTGCTATCTCATGCCGTTTTATTCAAAGTCATGTGTTTCTGTTCACTTGCTGGTTAGAATTGTTTAATCATTGACGAATATTTGTGGCACACTCTGTACCATGTACTCCTTTGTCAGGTGCTGGGTATACACTGATGAATGAAACAGACTCTAGCTTCATGGAACTTGCGTCTAGTGAGCTTAGAAGTAAATTTTTTGAGTGCGAGGATGGGGAGTCGAACTGAGGGCTCTTAGTTTTGCTAGCATTTAACATGTTGCTCTTACCAATTTTAAGAAATAAATGTAGTGTAGAAAGGTAATGTATTCCAAAAGAATCTGGTTGTTTTTTTGTTTGTTTTTTTTGTTTGTTTGTTGTTTGAGGCGGAGTCTCGCTCTGTCGCCCAGGCTGGAGTGCAGTGGTGCGATCTCGGCTCACTGCAATCTCTGTCTCCCAGGTTCACGCCATTCTCCTGCCGCAGCCTCCCGAGAAGCTGGGACTACAGGCGCCCGCCATCACGCCCGACAATTTTTTTGTATTTTGAGTAGAGACAGGGTTTCACCGTTGTTCACCAGGATGGTCTCAATCTCCTGACTTCGTGATCCGCCCACTTCGGCCTCCCAAAGTGCTGGGATTACAGGCATGAGCCACCGCACCCGGCCAAGAATCTGTTTTTCTTAGTGAAGAGTATCCACATAGACATTCATAGCAAAAAAAAAATTATAAGATGCATCAGAGATAAATAAAATAAAATGTCGTTTTCCCAGATCTGGATTTAGTTTCTGATTTGATTTATTTTAACGACAGACATAAGAGATCACTTTATAATGAAGTAAAATTTCACATTACAGAAACAGAATAAAAATAGCTTCTTGAAGAAAATGCTAAATCTACTTTTAATCTCAAGGAAATAGGGTTGATCAAAGAGATCTGTTAGCATGTTACATATTAATAGACAACCTGCTGTGTAAAATTACTTAAAAGCCATCTTTTGCAAAAATGTTCTCCCGTTCTGTAGGTTGCCAGTTCACTCTGATTATAGTTTCTTTCGCTGTGCAGAAGCTCTTTAGTTTAATTAGATCCCATTTGTTAATTTTGGCTTTTGTTGCCATTGCTTTTGGTGTTTTAGTCATGAAGTCTTTGACCATGCCCGTGTCCTGAATGGTATTGAGTTAATGTCCTTTGCAGGGACATGGATGAAGCTGGAAACCATCATTCTTAGTAAACTAACACAGGAACAGAAAACCAAACACCGCATGTTCTCACTCTTAAGTGGGAGTTGAACAATGAGAACACATGGACACAGGGAGGAGAATATTACATACCGGGGCCTGACAGGGGGTTGGGGGCTAGGGGAGGGATAACATTTGGAGAAATACCTAATGTAGATGATGGGTTGATAGGTGCTGCAAACCACCATAGAATGTGTATACCTATGTAACAAACCTGCACGTTCTGCACATGTATCCCAGAACTTAAAGTATAATAAAAAATAAATAAAATTTTTAAAAAGCCATATTTTAAAAGGTTTTTAAAATTCACAACATACTCCATTTTTGATATAACTTCTAATATTTCTTCTCTGTGGTAGAAATTTGTTTCTGAGAAATAAGAGGCCAAGGATATTAGAAGAGCAAAAAAAGTTTATACAAATGTGTTAACATTTTAAAGGCAACTATATATGAAGAAAATTAAAACATTGTTAAAAATTATTGGAATAAATAATAAAATTATCAAGGTTATAATTAATAAGATCAAATATATTGCTTATGTAATTTTAAAAGTAGCGTAGAATGTTTATTATTCTAGTCTCGCTAAAAATGATAAACTTCAAACATATCTATAGGAGAATAATTACAAAACTCAGCAATTAACCCAGGAGATAATTTGAAGAAATGTTGAAATAGTTTCTTACATAAAGACACTAGGTATTTCTTTCATAAAGGACACTAGGTAAAAGTTCCAGCAACGGGTAGAGAGGTGATCTAGGTACATTTTATTATTGACTATTGAAACAGGTTTGAGAAAGTGCACAGTTGGGTATCAGCAGAGGAGACTGATCTAGGTACAATTTATTATTGACTATTGATACAGGTTTTCTCCTGAGAAAGTGCACAGTTGGGTGTCAGCAAAGGAGACAGCACAGGCTCCTCAGATGTCAAGGCAGGGATGCGTCACTCATCATCATAAAAGAGTGGCTATGCCTTCCTGTGTCAGGCTCTGTGCCAGCAGCTGCGTGCCCCGTCTTCCCTTCCAGGGTCCTGCCTGAAGTCTGTGCTCACTCAGCCGGCCCCACCATCTGGGATTAATGGTCACCTTCTTCTGTACTGGAATAAGCAGCAGAGTTAGGTGGACATTGTGGCCTGGCCCTGCCAGCTCTCAGGAGAATCTCTCTCTCTCTCTCTCTCTCTCTCTCTCTCTCTCTCTGCAAGACAGTTAATAACAATAAAACCCACCTGGTCAACCCGTCTACAACACTCAGCTTTATCCCCATCCCTCTCTCACCGTTCCTCTAGGGACACAGTTACCCTGTGGTTTCTCCTGGGCTCTTTCTCCTTCCTCCTCCAGATCCCTGGGATCAACCATCAACCCTCCTGATAACCCCTCTCCTGCAATGGCTGCCTTCAGGCTCTTTGTTGAACCTGACACCAAAGGATGTCTTTCTAAACTGTCAGTTTCATCTATTCTGCCTCCAGTTCACAACCCGAAACAAACTCAGATAATGAATCAAACCAAACCCCTCACTCTGACACACAAGGACCTTACAGGCTGGACTCCAATGTCCTTACCTGACTTGACACTTACACTTCACTTGTTCAGTCTTCTCGTCCATGATGTATTCCGTCATCGCCTCAGCATGTCATGGCATTTAAAATGTCTCTTCTTTTTCCAAAGCCCTATCTCTCCCTAGTAATGCTGTGTGAGTATTTGTTCCAGAGCAGGACCCCACAACCCAGTGAGACCCAAGTCACAATCACCCCCTTCCCTGGCCTCCGTGGAAGGAGCTGCCCAGGACTTTGCTCCCAGAGCCCTCTGCAGCCTCCCTGCAGCCTCCTTTCATTGGATGGGGGTGATATTTTGCCTATGTCCTTCTGGTAACACACAAAAAAAGTATTGAAAAATGATGTTTTTCAACAGGTGCTGGAGAGGCTCTGGAGAAATAGGAACATTTTTACACTGTTGGTGGGACTGTAAACTAGTTCAACCATTGTGGAAGACAGTATGGTGATTGCTCAAGGATCTAGAACTAGAAATACCATATGACCCAGCCATCCCATTACTGGGTATATACCCAAAGGATTATAAATCATGCTGCTATAAAGACACATGCACACGTATGTTTACTGCGGCACTATTCACAATAGCAAAGACTTGGAATCAACCCAAATGTCCATCAATGACAGACTGGATTAAGAAAATGTGGCACATATACACCATGAAATACTATGCAGCCACAAAAAAGGTTGAGTTCATGTCCTTTGCAGGGATATGGATGAAGCTGGAAACCATCATTCTCAGCAAACTATTGCAAGAACAGAAAACCAAACACCACATGTTCTCACTCATAGGTGGGAACTGAACAATGAGAACAATAGGACACAGGAAGGGGAACATCACACACCGAGGCCTGTCGTGGGGTGGGAGGAGGGGGGAGGGATAGCATTAGGAGATATACCTAATGTAAATGATGAGTTAATGGGTGCCCACACCAACATGCCATGTGTATACATATGTAACAAACCTGCACATTGTGCACAGGTACCCTGGAACATAAAGTATAATACAAAAAAAAAATGATGTTTTTTAGTATCAGTAACTTGGGGCATGACCCAGGGCGTGGCCATGGATGCTTCCAGACTGACACTCACTGGGCTCTCAGGCCGACACCACTCACATGATTTCTACTGAGGGAATGCAGTCTGGTGAGAGAGCAGCAGGAGACACTACGGGTCTCTCCCAGGGTCTGTGCAGTGGGCAGCCACAGCTGTGCCAACCCCCTCCTACCCCACAAATTCCCCAGGGCTGGGCGTTGGAGCCTGCACTCACTGAGGCTGACCTGGAAGCTGTGCCCTCCCTGGGTGTGGTTCCAGCACCCACTTCTTCCCAGGTCTGGCCTGTCAGACTTCCCCGATCCGCCAGCCCCTAGGACTTGAATAAATACACGGAGTGAGGTCGAAGCAGGCAATGTGGGAGACACATTGGCACCTATAACTCCTCCTCTATGAGGTCAGTGGAGGGGATAAGAAAGGCCCGGAGCAGCCCACTCCAGCTCTGGACCTCAGAAGGGCTGTGTCCACCATGGCTCCTGTCCTCCTCCTGCTCCTCTCTCACTTCTCAGGTAGGGACAGGCCTCCCACGCCCAGGTCAGGTCCCCCAGGCTTCAGCAGACCCCTCTGGTTCAGATCTTTCAGCAACTTCATGCTGGTAGGTGAGCCAGCAGCCATGTGCGCCTGTGCCTGCAGGTTCCCTCTCCCCTCTGGGAGCACCAGCCACACTCCCCCGCACCCTGAGCAGTGGCTTCCATGCTGATTTCTATTGGATATACTGGTACCGGCATAAGCCAGGGAGCCCTCCCTGGTATCTCCTGAGCCACTACCAAAATGTACTTCATGACCAGGGCTCCAGGGTCCCGAGTCGCTCCTCTGGATTGATGGAAGGCTGGTCCAACAAAGGACTTTTGCTCATATCTGAGCTCCAGTCTGAGGACGAGGCTATTACTGTGTGATTGAGCACCGCAGTGCTTTGCACACTGACACACACAGGTGGGGAGGTGGGATAAAACCTCTGCCTGCTCGGAGTCTTGTTCTCTGACAATGTTTAGATATTAAAATAACTCACATATACAAACTCCACAGGGACGCACTTTCTGGCTCAGACAATACTCTCTTCTCAATTCTCCACGGAATGTTTCTGAAGTCTCAGGAATGCTGAAAACAAAAACAAACACCTCGAGATACCGCTGCGGTGTCGCCCGTTATCTAGATGAGCAAAACCCAGAGCCCGTGGAGCTGACTTTTTATTATTATTATTATTTGGATGAATGGAAATGAGGCTTTCCTAGTTTTCTTTTTGGCCAGAGGCTGGAGAGCATTCAAGCAGATAGACAGTCTCTACAGCATGGACTCTGTCTTTGAGGGATCAGAGCAGAAACCTCCTCTTTCCTCTCCAGTCACCTCTCTCCAACCCCGATCATCTGTGCTTGCGGCTGCCTGAGGCCCGCTGTGACCCAGGGATGAGGCACTAAGGTGAGGACACAGGTCCCAGAGGAGTTCCAGCGAGGATCTGGCCTGAGTCACTCACAGGTAGGTACGTGCACCTTCAGTGTTCAGGTCAGGAGGTGGGAGGTAGGGATGGGGGGAAATGAGGGCCCGAGGCCAGCAAACCTTTCTGTGGGGCGTGAGAACGTGAAGGGAAGGCTCCACCATTGCTGGAAAAACACCGTTGCCTGCTCTGGGGGAGTTGGGGGATGCTGATTCCATGGATGTGACTTTCCTACAGCTGATCCCACTCAGGACCACGGGGACCCCCATGGGTGATTTTCTGAGATCACAGAAACTATCTAGCGTTTCCTCCTCTCCTGCCTTCTACCATTGGAGCTTTTCAACAGTCCAGGTGGCGGGGAGGGTTGTGGGACATCACGGAGCAGGAACTCCCCAACCTGTCCATGCAGAATTCCCCCTGTAAAGCTCTTGTTGTGCCCCAGACCCCGAGGTCACCTTCTCCTGCACAAGCGGCAGTAGAGACATCGGGAGTTACCATGGCAACTGGTACAATGGACTCGGGCAGAACCACTGTGTTTGTCACCTAGGACAGGGAGGATGGACCTTCAGAGATTTGAGCCTCATTACCCAGATGCCGGTTTGTCCATAGAACCCCTCTGTCCACCTCTGGACCCCAGCATTATGGGTGAGGCTGATTGTCTCTGGCATACAGCTGAACACAGCCTCATAAACAGAAAGCGCTCCTGATCCGTGGAAAAATGGGATAAAAATGTTGTCCCTCTCATCTTACCAGAATGTACGTGGGTCCAAATATTGGCCATGGCGCTGGATGTGTAGGTGGCAGCTGCAGAGCCAGAGGCAGTGGATGGGCCCGGGGGGATACGGCAGGGTGGGCGCTTGTGGGGTCAAGGTAGAAGTGGTGAGTGATGGCCCCCTGAGGTTGAACGTGTTTTGGTGCCCGAGGCTGGCTGGCCTCCCACAGCAGAGGTTGGGGCTGGACTGGAGTTGGAGGTGCCAGGCCTCCAAACTGGAAACAGTGGTCAAAGGCGGGGGTCTGTGCTGCTGCCCCTCAGGGGGCCCAGGTATGGGCTAAGCAGTGGCTCCAGGGTTAGTGGAAAGTTTCAAATTTGGGGTGGGGCCACAGAACCCCAGTGCAGGAAGGTGGTAGTGTCCTTGGCTGAGGTTGTGCTGCCACCTAGGGGTGTAGGAAGAGTCTGGGAAGATGGAAAGAGGCTCCCACTGGAGCTAGCAGGAGGCCCTACAATGAGAGGCTAGGAAAGGGGAGGGGTGTCTGTGGGGTGACAGTGGTGTCCACTGGGGAGCCAGTCCTGCAGATGTGCTGGCTGAGGGCCTGGAACTGGCTGCGCATGCAGCTACTGGCTGACCAGGGAGAGAGGGGCACTAGGACCCATAGGGAGAGACAGCCCCCGAGTGAAGAAGACAGGAGAATCCATACATATTTTTGGTGGGGTTGACTACTTCATTACAGGGATGCTGGCAGGTGTGAGGAAGGCTGAACTGGCACCTGCTGCAGCTGTGGCTGAGGCCGTGGGGCAGGCCTCAGATGTCTTGGGCAGACCCCAGCCTGGGTCAGTGCCTTCTGTTCCTCTCTTCGAAGAGCTAGACTTGTATCCTCGCTGCCTCACCCATGAGCACCTCTGTTCCTGGTTTGCTCTCCCAGTCTGCACTGAGTCGCTCACCTCCCTATCTTGATCTCTGAGAACTTCTGCGAGACTTGCCTGTGCCCTGAGCAGTGGCTTTAGTGTTGATGACTTTGTGACCACGTGGTATCAGCAGAAGCCAGGCAATCTTCTCTGGGTTCAACTGTACTCCTCAAGTCCACCGTGGGGATTAGAAATCCAGGGGCTTGGCCGGGCGCGGTGGCTCACGCCTGTAATCCCAGCACTTTGGGAGGCCGAGGCGGGCGGATCACGAGGTCAGGAGATCGAGACCATCCTGGCTAACACGGTGAAACCCCGTGTCTACTAAAAATACAAAAATTTAGCCAGGCATGCTGGCGGGCGCCTGTAGTCCCAGCTACTCGGGAGGCTGAGGCAGGAGAATGGCCTGAACCTGGGAGGTGGAGCTTGCAGTGAGCTGAGATCACGCCATGCACTCCAGCCTGGGTGACAGAGCAAGACTCTGTCTCAAAAAACAAACAAACAAACAAACAAACAAAAAGAGAAATGCAGGGGCTTCGCTGAGTCCAAAGATGCCTTGACCAATGCAGGGGTTCTGCACATCTCTGGAATGCGACCTGAGGATGAAGCTCTCTGTTGCTGTAGTGGATGTGCGGAAATCAGTGATGTTTACGTGGCGCTCCAGACCCATGGGTAATTGAGGCTAAAACCTCCCATGTTCTCTCTGCCTGGTGCTGTCACTGCTGCACCAAGTCTAGATCAGCAAGTGACTGCTATTCTCATTTCTTCAGTAAACACCTAATTTCCCTAGGACACATAAATGTGAAAATTTCTTTTTGTTGTTGTTAAAATGTTAATTTCATACAGTACTCAAAGCTTCTCACCTGGATCATGTATACAGTGGCATCAATCAGTTCTCGGGGCTCAGTATCTCTCCAGGGAGCTGATGGAGGAGGAAGGAGGTGCTGACCTCACCTATGCCAAGCCCAGGGTCTAGCCCTGACTCAGAGATGTATGTGGTATGAGAGTTTCTTGTTGGTCACTGGGTCCCATGTATCCCATCCCCAGCTCTCCTGAGCAGCTCTGAGAGTGAGGTCACCTCCCCCATAACTGCTCATTTCAGTCAGCCTCTCTGCAAACCGGGCTTCCCTCCTGAGACTCAAAGGAAGCAGATGTTTGTGACTCCAAGGATGTTGGACAAACAGAGAGAGATGTCCACAGTGAGATGTGACTGTGTTCATAATCTCCCAGCATGCACAGGACTCCCAGCATCAGGCTCCCTCTGCCTCCGAGTCAGGTCCTGTACTGGG